TGGAACCTTAACTAGTCTCATTAGTATCACCTGGGTTTACCCTACTATTTCATGTCAGAATGGTTGCTGTGAAAAAGGACTCCCATCCTGTAGGAATCCCATAGATGGTTGTAGACTGAAACTTTGTCATTAAGGTGGCAGGTAAAGAAGTGTGCAGGTCCCCTCCATAATGCTGTAACTGTTCTGTTAAAGGACTCTATGAATTAAAAAGATCTGAGTCGACGTTTGAATATAATGAACTTTATTACAGCAGAGTGCAGGTTTGATCTGGTTTCTCGACAGTGCGTCCCCCTTTTTCTTTCTGTCCATGACGTTAATTAGCTCCTGGGGATATTTTTAGTGGCTCTCTTGACGATTTAATTAGGTTTACAAATGATAATTTTTAACCACCATGTCTACCGTGGGCCGTGGCAGCACAATAAACACAATCAGACATTCCCCCTGCAGAATTGCATTAGGGGTTTGGCACTGCCAGAGAGCGGGGCTGGAAAATGTCGAGCTAGCTGGCATCAAGGAGCTCCTGTTACCGGCAAAGGGGGAAAACTCCCAGCGCTCTGCCAATCCAAAGCACACACACTCACACACAGTCACTCACATGCAAACTCCCAATTACACTCCTGCAGAGGTGCTTTTTAAACTTCTCTCAACACGAAGATGTAGCGGTGGGCGGGGCCTTTTTTTAATAAACTGTTACGGCTGCCTCCCGCCGTGCTGCCATGGCAACAAAACAGCCGTCAATGGCGCATGGACAGGACAGGAATGGGGAAAGGGAAAATATCCTCACTTGTACCAAAATATTTCAGTCCTTAATCCTCTCTGATTCTAATAACGGGCCGTTTGTTCCCAGATAATAGGACGCAGTGGGGTAAAAGTTTGAGCATCGTGATCCTGGAAAAATGTTCTAAAGCTCCCTTTTTCCCCCTCTTCTAGTATTGGATTATGCTCCGATGTTGGAAAAGTCCTGCAGAATTAGGATGATTTCATTTCACGGGCACGTCGTGTTGTAATAAATTCAGCCGTCTCTCAGCGTGACCTCTGGATGAGCCGCTGCGGTCGGCGTCTCTGCTCCAACTCTGCTCCACTCCAGATTGCTTTTCAGTTTTCAGTGTAGGTGATGCACTTGTGACTAACTCCCTCGATCGCTTCAGCCAAAAAACTTCAATCAATCCCTGTTTGTGTGTGTGAGTGTCCAGTTCAATCATTGATCACTGCTTACAACATGGGTCCATAAGCAGATGACAACCCAGGAATCTCATCTGGTTTGTGGGTTTGTGTTTTCAAACTCTGTCGAATTGAGATTATAAAATGTTGTCATCAGCAATATACTTTAGGTTCATTCTCCCCTCCTGAATATTGCTTATTGACAAATAGCTCTGGCTTAACGTGTGCAGAAGTCAGCCAGTGCTGCTCCCTCCCAGGGTCTCTGAAGAAAAAGTGCACTGAGATTGATTGATTGTAACTGTGATTGTGATTGAGTCAATCATAGTTACAGTATTACCAACAGTATAGATTATAATTAATTTATTGTAAATATTGTTTTCCTTTATTATTATTATTATTTTTAATTCCAAACGCTTGCTTTGGCAATATGTACAGTGTTACGTCAGTCCAATAAAGCCATTTGAATTGAATTGAATTGTATGTGGACAGCCGAGCTTGCTGTTGCAGTTCCTGCTCATCCCAACGGTGCCAGATGGTCACAGATTTGTCCAAATACTTTTGTACATTTGAATTACTTTTTGGAGTGAATAAGGCTGCATCTGTCGATCATTTTCTCCATTGATCCACTAGTTGTTTGGTCCAAAATGGTGAAAAACTTTGCTGCGTGTTTCTCAGAGCCAAAGGTTACGTCCTCAGATGTCTCTTTTTTGTCACACACATTCGTTGCTCAAGTAGAAGAACTGATTCAACTCCTTTACTCAAGTAAAAGGGGAAACGTACAGGCTCTGAAATGCACTCAAAGTATAAAAGGACATGTTTACCGTCTGTTTCTGTGCAAAGCTCCCTCTCTGGTCTGTTTAGTCTTTACATGTTTTATACGTCTGCATGCCTGATATGCACCAGTCTTGATGTTGGGAAGGAAGAATAATAATCAATAATTACCCTCAAAGGCATTAAAATTAAAGTAACAAGCCTGCTTTGAAAATATAAAGCACTTTATTACCTCCCACCTCTGTCCACAGTGCAAAGATACTCACACAGAAACCAAAAGTAATTCACTTTTAAGAAACTGACATCAGTGAAGTGTTCTTAAAAAATTTTTCAAATTGATTGATCTATTATCAAAATAGTTGGCGATTACTTTAATAGTTGACAGCTGATTTATTAATTGACTAATCGTTGCAGATCGAATGTGTTCAGTTAAAACTGTTAGTAACTGTTAGAGTAGAAAAAATAATCCAACAACAACAGTGTTAATACAATCAATTAATCAAGTTTTAACGTTGTATTGCATTTATTTTATTTACCCGTTCAGCAATTAGAGACTTTGTGTATGAAGACAAGATTTTTTAGAAAAAATAAAAAGGAAATAATGGTAAAAGTAAAAGCAGTTTTAATGGATGTAACATACGTCAGTTGTGACTCTCGTTTGGACCGGGCTGCTTTATGTGGCGGGTTAATGTGCTGTTATTGAAGAGGCTTTTAAAGGGTTGCCAGATCTGGTAGAATTTGTCCTCATATCCACAACAAACTTCATTTTATTTGTTTTTTAGTTTCGAGTTGCTTTGCCGACACTTTCTCCTCTCATTGGTCTTCACTCACTCGCCAAATCTTTTATGTAAAACAATAAAATATTAAAGACTAAATCAACACTAAATCACTTTATTATACTTTCAGTTCTATTCTTTATTGCAACAGCAGTTCTAAAAAGGCTTTTCATTTTCTGAATATGTGAATCAGGTGTGTTAAGTTAAACATTGTTCTTATTGTGTGACTGAAGCCTTCACACTGCAGATTTTACACCAGAATCCAGAGGTAATCCCTCCGTCTTCACTGTGTAAAGCTTTCAGTGTAGCAGCTATTATTAGCTCCGAATCCGCACTTTTCACGGCGTTGTTCCCACATCCTACGAGCCGTAATGTATCTGTTCGGATTTTAGAAAGGGCTAAAATGGCTGGCAATAAATGGGATTTAAAATTAAATGTAAGGAAAGTGACAGCTATCTTTGCTTTATTGACGGATGTGGGCCCAACCAGGAACAGATGTGTGGTTCTTTTACACAGATCTGCAGTCATAAGTTTGTGGTCAATATCAGTGTAACACAAAAAGAGGTTTGTAAAGGAATTAGTGTTAAATATAATAGACAGGAAAACACACATTCGCTGTAACAAACTGTGAGATTTGAGATTAGGGGCCCGAGTGTGAGTGTTTATAGGATGCAAACTGTCTCACATTCGAACATCTATTTTCTCTTCTATCCGAGCTCCTGTGTGCATGTATGTGCAGAATGTGAATACAGCATGTGTTCCTGCATTCAGCCATATGCTGGTGTGTAGCTGTAATCTGCAGTCAGTCAGTCTGTGTGCCAGCAGTGCGTTGGACGGCCCTGCATGTGTGATCAGCGCAGCATTCCTCAGTGACAGCCGCGGAGCAACGACTTCTTTAAATAGCCGAGATCTGCAGGGATGCTGGGATTTCTCTGAGCTCAGGTGGAGCATTAGCGCCTCCCTGTGGTCAGAGACAGGTTGGTCTCATGAGATGTTTACAGACAAGGATCATACCTGGGAGTTTAGACTCTTATTGTGTGGAAAGATGAAAGATTTTTAGACATTGAGGTTACATAGAAAACATTCCTCCATCAGCTTTATAATGACTACAGAATATTTCAACATGCAGATCCTCCTCATGGAAACATGATTATATTTAACCTATATAGAAAACATTTACTTTACAATCATTCGAAGTAGATATAATGGACAGAGTGTCCAGGTCTGTGAAGTGTGTTAAACCTGTATTCTCTCTAACGGCCAGCAGGGGGCAGCACAATTGGCTGTAATAAAAGACTGACACCATTCAGTCTTATGGAGAAAAGAGACGACTTCTCAGTTGATTTATTCCCTCAGTAAACAGTTTCCTGATGAGTTTCTGGTCTCAGTCTGTAGTTTCAGTCTTCTTCCATACAGCATGATGTTCATTTAGTAAATGATGGTCCCATTTAGAGTAAGATAGACCATAAAGCAGGGTATGCTTTATACAGTAAGAACTGTAAATGTCTATATCATAAGATAATTCCGGCCCCTGCTGGTCGTTAGAAAGGAGGAAGGTTTAAGACACTTCACAGACCCTGAAGCTTTGTCCACTAATTATATTCTGTAAATTGGTAGAATATAAAAAACTGAGAGAGGGAAGATTGGATCTAAGGATGCAAGAGTGTGGAATAAGTTGTATGCAAATATGTCAGGACTAAATCTGGTTCACTTGATAAACACTGAGGACACCAATAGAGGAAATACAGGTTAAGAGGAATGTCTTCCATGTTCACAATGTGTCTGATGAGTACAACCCAAACTCAAAAGGTCAAATTAGATTAAAAAAAAACACTGAATGAGGCTTCTACAGCAGCTCAGCACTTGTATCTGTTATCAACACACACACACACACACACACACACACACACACACACACACACACACACACACACACACACACTCTCCTGTCTCAGATTCTTGGCATGACTTCCTCGTGGTAAAAATGGAAACATCCCCTTGCCCCTTAGACCCCCCTTCCACGTCCCATAATCCCCTCCTGCCTGTGTGCCATCCCCGACCCTCTTGTAACAAACCCTCGCTGAGAGGAGCTCATGCCCACTTTATGTTTAGACTCTGTTTGCAAGCAGAGACGTGATCCGTGTTTTCTATCAGCAGTCAGAGAGTTTCTCCTCAGCCCTGTCTTTTCACATATTATGCCGTACTGAATGGGGGGCTGCGATGCCCCCTGCAAACCAGCTACGTGTCATCATGTCTAACCCTGGTTTCCCTGGTTGTCGCACTATCTCGCAGCACCTGAACGACCTGAAGAAGGAGAACTTCAGCCTGAAGCTCAGGATCTACTTCCTGGAGGAGAAGATCCAGCAGAAGTTTGAGGAGAGCAGCGATGACGTGCACAGGAGGGTGAGTGATCCACAGTCTGCGTTCACTTTGTGATGCACTTCTGTAGTTCTCTGCAGGTTTGAGTTTGACAGTGATTAATACCGACAGCAGGTCTCAGGCTGCTCTGCAACACTTCATACAAACTGTCAATCATATGTCTGCCTGCAAGGATGAGTGGGACTCACAGAGGACAGTTTATCTCAGTAGTTTCAGAGCAAACTCAGCAGCTGCTTAAAGGTTATATATGTGAAATTCAGTTGAGCCTGGATGTTGCACTAGAGCATCAGCATCTCAGATCAAAACAATCGGACAGAATCCAAATAAAACTCATCAGTTTGGTCTTTAGTCTTTACAACAATCACCAACTCTGGTTTGGTGGAAATAAATCCTTAATTCACCAAGTTAAATGTTAAAATATTCATGAAAAGGGCTTCAATGTAAGCTAATGTTAATTCTTTGGGACGAATGCACCCGTCAGAGTTCATCCACTAACAGTAGTCATTGTTTGTTCCACTAACAGTAGTTGTTGTTTGTTCCACTAACAGTAGTTGTTTGTTCCACTGACAGACTCAGGTTGTTATTGTCAGTGTCTGACAGCATTATGGAAAGGATCCCTACAGAGATAGACCTTTAGTTCAACCACAAACAGCCGTAATATCACTATCACTCTCCACCAGACTCCAGAGACAGAAACACTCATTTTACCTTCAGATCATCGTAACTTCATTCAAAGTGGACAGAAACAAAATAAAACTCATTAAAACTGTCTCTGTTAGTGTTTCCAACAATCACCAACTCTGGTTTGGTCGTAATAAATAAAACCAACGTATGCACAACAGAGCAGACTGGCTATGGAAACAAACCACAGAGAAGCTGAGATAAGATACAACACAGAGGGAGTGAGACACCATGACTCCACTTTATATAGAGAATAGTTGTTTGATGATATATTAATGTTATAAATCTCATATATGTAACCTTTAAGTACATATTTTATGTCTGTGTTGTTGTGTATGTCTGTTCTGAGCTGTCCTTGACCCTGTTCACTGTAAACAATGCTCAGCACCTCTGTGATGCATCAGAACATAAAACCTGAATGTAAAACCGCTGAAACTCATCTTCTCCTTTTAAAAGAATCTGTGATATCTCAGAGAAAACTGGAAGAATCAATAAAGCTATGAGCTTTAAATGCATTGATGAAGGGCACAAACAGGCAGCGCAGTGTATCTGAAGAGATGTCTGCTGGTGCATTTACTGTCTGACTTGTTTCCCGTCGGCTACTATAGATCCAATGACCCACTTTATGTTAGCCAGAGAGCCCTCGGGCCTGCTGTTTGCGTGCATGCATGTGCACTGTGGGCATGCACTGCACTAGTTTGATTTCATGTGTGCAGACTGTGCTCATGTATCCATGTTGCATGCGAGCCCTCTTGCAGGTTCGGTAGCAGCAGCATCACCTGTGTGTGTGTCAGTGTGTCAGTAATGGGACCTGCTGCTGGATGCGTTCACTGCAGGAGTCCTGAACTGTAACTCCAGACTGATGTACAGAGAAATAAATCAGCTCTGCAGGCAGATATCTGCACGAGAGCGAACTGACGGCCAGTTCAGGCCAGTTTGTTGCTGCTTTCAGAGCCAGAAGTTAAAAGTGGAGGTGTTGCTGGGTGCAGGCGGGGGAGGAGGGTTGGGGGAGAGTGGTGGCTATTACACTGGAGGGGGTTGCAGAGGAGACAGATACAGCAGGTGCTCGGATCCCTACCAGCTATTTATAGTCCTACAGAGCTCCCTGATATACAGGTCAGCACGTGCAGCTCGGTCAGCTCATTTTGTGTCTCTCTGAACAGAACTCCATATTAAAAATATAGAATAAGAAAACAATTACATGTATTGTGCTATACTGGAACAAGTTTGACTGAATAATCTTAATACCACACGTATTTATCCTGCTGAGACAACTAATAAACAATTACGTATTTAATCTTTAATGAATCTCTTTTCCAGAACATCGAGTTGAAGGTCGAGGTGGAAAGTCTGAAAAATGAACTTGAGGAGAAGCAACAACTTTTGGACAAAGCTCTGTGAGTATTTTGACTTCCTGCATCGATAACCGCCGGCCCTTCAACCTCCACATGTATCCAACAAATCACTCATCTCCAGAACATATATTCAGAAGTGGTTTCAAATATTCAGCCGCTTGTGCTGCACAGATTTATTGAAATGCCTTTGGGGAAACCAGACAGAGAACTATAAAAACACTCTTTTCATCGCTAGTTTGATTATTTCCCATGAGTCCATCAGTACTTCAGAGCCCGGGCGCCCTCGGGACCCGGCGGCCTGTAGACTCACCTAGCTATCACAACACGGACTAAGCTCCGAGGAATGCCAGTGTATGTACTGAAACGCTTTGAGGAGGATGAAGTGGCTCTGTGTTCTGGGTCGGAGGACGAAGAGGGGATGAGGGTGAGGAGGTGAAGAGGGGGTGAGGACTGTGGGTTTGATTTGAAGGGGGAGGGCGTAGAGAGTATGGGAGTAGGGAGAGCGAAGGGCAGAGGTGTCTTGTGGTTTGTTGCGTTGCTGAGTCGGGAACTATTTGAGCTGCAGCACCTGTCAGTGAGGCAGCTGTCAGATTCTTTAACAGGATGAGAGCGAGACTGACGGCACAATATGAGCACTAACAATGTTTCTGAATGTTTAACACAAATATTTTTCATGTTCGGTTATTCCAACAGTGTTTGAGCATTGACGAATGAGTTTAGTTAAAGGTTCAATTCACAAAAACAACAAAAACAAGCGGCAAACCTCAGTAGTGCCAAAAGCTTCTGCAGTGGCTTCACTTTCAGTTGCGGAGGTTCGTTGTCACTGGCATTTTGGCAACAGACCCTCAAGCTTCCCTCAAATATGTAAGCGGGTCCATTTTGCTTCTTATAGATTACTGTATGACTTAGGGATGATAAGATTCACTGATTCGCACCAGTGCACTGGCATAAGGATTTAGGGATTCAAGGTATGAATAGGTCATATAAAAACAAAAAAAGTCTAATTTGTGTGAAGAACTGTTGAGGAAGAGTTTAACTGTCTCAGAGCCTGAGGGAAGAAGCTGATTTCCTCCGATTAAAATGTATGCATTGGATAAAATTGGGGATGAACTTTGGATGCATCTTTTCTAATATCTTTGCATCTGTAAAAAAACTAATGACAACATCACAACAGGGGTGAATCGTACCGCATTGGGTGCTCCTTATGTATCTTTAATGTATCAGATCATTGATAATGCATCAGTACACACTGCATCAGCCTCAGTGACGGAGATGCACATCCCTAATGAGTGCAATTTTTAAAAGTAATGGACATAGCATGTGTGTGTTTTTCTTGAATTTGGGACCAACACTTAAAAAGGTTTTGTGCAGTTATCCGTCGTGCTGAGTAAAAGATTTTGCACATGTAAGAATCTGTCCTTCAGCATTGTTTGACTGATGATTTCCCTCATAGTTCGACGAAGGAAAAACACCATTAGCTCAGTTACACGGTGTTGTCATGCATTATAGGCGGTAATTAGTTCAATCAGTCAATTTAGCGCTTTGTCAAAATATTGAAAAGGAGGAAGAATTCCAGCGTTTGAGGAGAGTAAATCTTAGAGTGGAGTTTGGGGTCGTGCTCTCTGTGCGCTGCTGTTTCATAAATAAACTTTCTGGCCACAGTTTATCATTAGAGCTATTAACAGAGCCTGACTGACAGATGTGAGGAGGAAAAGCTGAGTGTGACCTTCTGGCTGTTAGAGCTGCTGAGTGGTGGAGCAGTGACAGACCGGCTTCACCATAAAAACCCCAACTCGTCCCTCAGAGGGGTCAGAGACATTTCCCCTGGAGGCAAAGTTCACTCGGCCTAAGTCTTTACCTCTGTTTGTCTGTTTGTTAGCAGGAAATCTCAAAATCCTGCAAACAGATTTCTATTAAATATGGTGGAAAAATAACTGAAGAAACGATGATTCAGATCCAATAGAGTTTCTCACAGTGTTTAAAAGTGGAGGAGGTCCACCACACCTGAAATACAGACCACCACCTCTAAACTCGTACAGAATTCAGCATCTCTTTCACAAAGCAGATGTCACATTTTTAATGAGTGCAGTTATTGTTTAGTCTGTAATCTGCTAATCAAATGCCCCTCCACCTTACTTAAATTTCCAGTTGTACTGAGGAGGATCTAACCTCTGAAATGAATATAACATCATAGGTATGTTTTAGATAGTGTATAACCACCTTAAAATAAGAATAATTTCAACATAGGGAGCCGGTCTTCTTCTGGTAGAGTTTCCATGTTTCAAAGTATCCCAGAACGACTCTTGATAGGGGCTTTGTCATTTTTGTATTCATAACAATTAATGTAATTTTGAAAGAAATATCAAAATTCTCACATTAGCCCTCAAATGTGAATATTGCCGTTTCTTTAGCCTCTATGACATTTAAGGCCGTCAGATTGTGATCAACATTTTTCGTTACTGTATGCTCTTTGTGACCTACAACAAACAAGACCTTTAGAGAGAAGATTGGCTATTTCTGTATAATTATTCTTAATGCCTGTCACCATTAAGAATAAAGCCAATTCAGTCGGATTCCCCTTGAAATCAATTAAACTACTTTTGTCCACAGGGGCGCCAGAATCAACACAAAATCAAGGTTTATTGCAGCTGCTTTGAGTCGAAGTACTTGAATAAATGTACTGTATTCTGCATTATACCGACGCGTGTTACACATGTAATAGTTAATGTTTGACTGCGACAGAGTGACTCGGTGATGAAGCCAAGGCCAATTCAAGAATAACATCCTATAAAGCTCATATTGCTCCTGATCTCTTGCACATGAAACCAACCAGAGAAAGATCAGATTTAGTGGAATACGTGCCAAACGCTGACAGACATGATGCCTGTGAGTCCTTTGGGAACGACTCCTGTTAATGACACCCTCATCTAAGTGACCAGACATGAATAAATAATGGCTGTTTGTTGTCTGCGAGGGAAAAGAAGCCAATGAAATAAACCCATCTGCCTCTGAAGTCGGCTTCTTTATTGCATTCATTTATTATTTATGGACTTTAGGGCTTCTTCAACCAAGTGCACATTTTCAAAAGATTTCAAAGCATTTCTTTTATCATAGACATCCCCTGAATATTCAGTACGGTTTGTTTGCTTTAAATAACAATTGTTTGTTAATGTAATAAGGTCCAGACAAACCCTCAGAATATGTTATGTCCCTAAAGAAGTCATTTAATTTAGCAGCTTGCCTTAAAATAAAGTAATTTTTATCTGGAACTGCAACCCCATAGGTCAACAGCAGAGAGCCTGTCCAATCAGAATGAAGCAGAGCTGCAGCGCCACCTGGCGGATCGGCAGGAGGAGATCAGCCACATGCAGGAAATCCTTGAAACCAAAGTTCAGCTGCTACAAGAGGTACAGAGACAGAAACACACAATCACACACATATACAAATACCCCGTTACGAGCTCTTCCTCCCGTCCGTCTCCAGGAGGCCGAGCTGGCGCGAGGCGAGGCCGAGCGGATGGCCGAGCTGGCGGACTCCGAGGCCCAGCGCTGCCTCGCCCTGGAGAGAGAGATGGTGGAGAGGATGGAGGAGAGCGGAGGCTCAGGTGGACTGCTTACCCAGCAGGCCCTGGCCCACAAAGACAGGTGAATTCACAGTTCATGTAGTAGCTAGTCCCAGCTTTATTTCAACTATTTTATACACAATTAACACTTTAAATTCACAGTGAAAACAACATGAATTGTGTTAATGGTACAGTAGAGGTTTGAAAATGTGACCACAGATTGGACAAAAGGATGTTCACAGTTTCATTGAACTATTTTCTGACTTTATAGACACAATTTAACATAAATTATACAAATTATGGATTAATAAAAAAGGAACAAACAAAATAATCTTCATTTGCGTGCACACAGTTGCTTTCTGTGGTTCTGGGAGGTGTCAGCGGGTCACTGTAGATATTGGTGCTATTCCCGGCGCTGGTATCGACTGACCTTGTCAAAAACTCTCCTGCCTGGAACAAAGAGCCAGAGCTGTGACCTACATACTGTAACCGACCCGGCAGTGAACGCCACCGCAGCTTCAACCATGTTAACCTGCTCTCTCTCTCTCTCTCTCTCTCTCTCTCTCTCTCTCTCTCTCTCTCTCTCTCTCAGGGTGATCGAGGAGTTGACCCAGCAGAAACATTTGCTGGGTCTCCGGGTCGAGGAGCTTGAGGTCAAAGTCCACAATCTTTCCTCCACTCTCAAGAAGACTGGAGGAGAAGCTGAGGTAGACACAGAGTGAATGCTACTGACAGCTGAGCCTGTATTTATTAAAAGTCCAGTAGTTAGACGGCAGATTCAGGTTCTGGTTAAGACCTTAAATCTCTGAACGTGACCCAGTCAGGTGACTCCTCATCGGGTTACCTTCCCCTCGTCTATCTTTGTGTTCTGGCTCAAAGCCCACGCAGGCCGACTGACTGAGATATCACACTGTTTTTATATCCACATGTGGGTCAGTGGAACTTTGGAAAAGCTGCAGCATGAAGATGAAAACATGTTTGTGTTGACTGGGACAGTCTCTGTATGGTTGTTCTAATGATTACTGTCAGTGTAACACCAGCACTCACTCAACCAGATCATTGATATTCGCTTCTAATAAACACTGTGCCTGATAAATAAGAATCCAGGAACGGATTCAGTCTCACACAAAACACTAAATTCATCCTTCTTGTTGATTAGAGTTAATTTCTGGTTGTGCTTTCTTCGCCCACAGGGTGATGGCGAGCGCCGAGTCCACGCACAGATGCAGGTAGGAACTGTAAATGTGTCCAGTACACACTCACAACACAAACACAGATATAATGTTTCCTTGCTTTGCTGGTGGTGAATCACTCCTTATGAAGTCATTCCTCCTCTCAGGTCATAGAGAGGTAGCTCCACCTAGTGGTGGCGAATCTACACTGCACGTACCACTGAGCTCCTCACAGTCCATCTCACACTCTATTAAAAATAATAACAACTGTATTCATATAGAACCTTTTGAATCAGAGTTTAGAAAGTGTCAGTGATCGTTGCACAAAATGGAATTAAATATAAAAATAAAGATACCAAAATACAATAAAAAGAAGAACGGAAACCTTAAAATAAAATGAAAATAAGTCTGTAGTCTATAAAAATGGGTTTTAGGAAGCGGTTTAAAAGTCACTGATTGTGCTGATTGGACCTCCTCAGGCAGCTGACGGGTCCTGATGACGAAAGCAGGGTCATCTTTAGATCTAAGGCAGCGAACTGGCTCGTAAAGGGTCGACATTTCTGCTACGTAGCTCGGGGTCGGACTGAGCGCTGTGTGTGTGTGTGTGTGTGTGTGTGTGTGTGTGTGTGTGTGTGTGTGTGTGTGATGGCGTCTGTTAGTTAGAAGCCAGAGAGGAGGGAGTTACAGTGAATGACTTTTTCCAGGTCAGGGTGACTGAAGATTGATTTTATTCTAGAAACAGTTAATTAAATAAAGGAAACTAAACAGGGCTACAGCGCCACAAACATACTGGTGCTTAAACACTGCTATAATACAAATAATCAGCTTTAAATTTACAGAAGAGTGCTGTTATTATTAGATTTTTAAAAGTTATAGAACTGTAATAAAAGTTATTATCCGTGAAATTACAGTAATTATTGGTGTTTTCACTGATAAAAACCGTATTTTTCAACATTTTTGTTGTGAAAACTTCAACAAACAAATCCTTTTAAAATTACACAACAAATACTTTTTTTTACTATTAATGTCACTAATTTTACATTATTTTAGTATTAAACTTGAATTTAACAGTTGAATCAATAGATGTACTTGAAACTAAATATCTGCAAAAAAAATCATAAATTTACAAATGTATTTTAAGTTAATGTAAATTCACAGGATATCTTTGTAATTTTATTTATATTTCCATTTTAAAAATACAGAAAAAACTGTAAGATAAACAGGACAGTCTAGAAATATAACTATATTCATTAAAAACAAGTGAGTTTACATTTCGATTATAACATTTGAATGCAGTCATCACAACCCAGCCGACACACAGTAAGCGTGGAGCTTTGGGGGCCCTGAAGTTCTGAGGCCCTCCAGATGCCCACATTGCCTGGATGGTAATCCCACCTGGGTACCGTCTAAAGCGGGTGTCCTGCCCTCACCTCACCCCTGCATGTGTTTCTCTCTCTAATATCAGGTCACACAGCGTCTCTCAGGGAATCAGGGTCACTGCGGAGTCATCTCACACGTTACAGTACAGCGCTGCTAATTTAGCCTCAGCTTCCTCACTGACGCCAGTTATAATTACAATCAGCTCGCTGTCTGCCGGCCGCTCTGTGCACACACTGACCCGCTTCATGAGGCGGCTGCGGAGCTCAGAGGGAGTCAGATGTTTACTCTGCACACCAACAAGTGAGACGTCTGAGGGGGAGAAAATCAGCAGAGACACCTCGCCGTTAACTCACCGCTGTCACACTTTCTGCCACTCTGAGAAAAATAAACAGCGGCTGAAGTCTGTCAGCAGTGTTTGGCACTTATCTCTGATTAGGATTAATTGATTTTTGATTGCGTGCCTCATTCCAGACGATCAGTGTTTGGGTGTCGTGTCTCCAGAGGCTTGCAGGGTGACAAATGTAGACAGAGTCAGGGCCAGAAGAGTGCCCCCCCCCACACACACACACACACAGGAAAACAAATCACAGTGACAACAGTCGTATCAACAGCACATCCATCCTGCTGCGGTAATGAAAGACGGATGAAGACTCGAGTGTCTGTGGGAAAAAGAGCCTAAAAGTGTCTCTAGAAAATGACATCAGCTTTCTGAGAGCTGCTGCTAAAGGGTCATGTGATTCATTGACACGAGCCTGCTCCCCTCCCTGCCTCCCTCCCTCCCTCCCCTCATTGTGTGACATACATGTGAAGGCCGGACCAGGACCGGGTGCCCCTGGGAAAGGCATGAACTCATTCCACGCTGACAACTTAGAGAATTTAATGAACCTGATGGAAAACAGTTCACACCCTGCACACAGACACACACACTGACTCCAAACAGCTCTGTGCAAAAGGAAAATGTTTTATATTCTCTTATAGAAGGGTTGTCACACGATGTTTTGATATTAAAGCTGCAGCAGGTCATTAAAAAACTTCTCTATATCCTGACAGTAGAACATGAGACAGATAATCTGTGAAACAATCAGGTTCCTCTGGTTCCTCTTAGTGCTCCTAATGACATTTACAAGAATCCGGAAAAATCCTGAACGACAACAACCAATCAGAGCTGAGAAAGATAGTTCATTGTTGAGCAGCGTCTTTGAGTCTTTCTCGGCTTCTTGCAAACACCAGACGGAGCGATAAAACGAGCCAGAGGAACCTGATTCTTCACAGATTTGTTCTCCTATCATAACCCTAACCACCACAAGCATAACATTAAATACATACCTTAAAAGGATTCAAATAAAGTAACCCCCAGACAACTAAACTATATGGGTCAATAACAGAAGAAAACCTTAGAATATAAATAAAAATTAAATAAAAAATGACCAAAATAAGATATAGAACAAAAAACAAACAAAGATAAAACACAAAAGTAAATCTTAAGCTAATAGAATTTATTTTGCATAATCTAATAATTAGAAAACTGATTTAAGTTTTGATACAAATTTTCAGACAGTTGTTTTGTGGATTTCATCATCTTAAAGGCACAAAATGTGATTCAAAGTTAAGTTTGTTATGATGATTAATAAAAATAAAAAAACTACAAATTTAAAGTAAATAGATGCTGTTTAAGATAAGATGTTCCTTTATTGATCCCTGTAAGGGAAATAGGAATAGGCAGCAGCAGCAAAGACGGATGTAGAGCAAAGAGTAGAGAAACAGAATTAAATACAATAAAATATAAAATATATACACTATATATAATAAAATATAAAATATATACACTATATATAATAAAATATAAAATATATACACTATATATAATAAAATAGAATATGAGCCTGCGTATATCTGTACGTGTACTGTACAGCGACCCCCCCTGTTTCCTGTAAAATGGTTCAGTCCAAACAGCTGCAGGAGGTCTCACTCCTGCACTGATGTGTGAGACAGAAAACATTAATGCAGATCCTCCGTCCTCTCAGTGTGATTTAACTCTTTATCTTGTTTGCAACCTGAGGAGCATCCACTTTTTAAACTTTATTAACAAAACACATGAACAACAAACACACACCGCAGCCTACAGGTTATTCAAAATAATACAAACACATACAATAAGTACTTAAATAAATAATAATAAACGGGTTAATGAAATGTTTTGGAGCCTTGCGGAGGAGTAAATTCAAACCTCACTTCCACAAACCAAACGTATCAGAAAGGACCCGAAGATTGAAAATGTTTTATCAGATTCATTTACAGACTCAGTTCCATCTCAGTATTTAGTTAATGTTCAGTTACACATGTTTTTATATTTATTATTATTACACATTCAGGGTGGTTTCTTCTTTTGGTTGGTTTAGTTGTTTCCAGTGCAGGAAGAAGTGTTCAAATTTCAAAAATAGAAATAAATAAAAAATATGTATATTTTAGTACAGTATGTAACAATATATAGAAAATATGTATATGAAAGAAGCAACAGAAGTCTTAGCAATACAATGTCAATATTATTTCATTATTAGTGATGTGTTAATATTTAAGGAGTACTTTAATGTTAAAGTTGGTCAAAGTGGCGTTAACTTTAACTACTTCTTGTACTTTTGCTGATTTAATCTGAACAATGGATCATATTTTATAAAGTGATTATATGTATTTGTGTAAAATATTAGTTTGTTAAAGTAACTATAGCTCTTCAATAAATATAATTAAGTAAAAAGTTCAGTATTTCTCTCTGAAAGTATAAAGTCAAGTCGAGTAAAGTACAGTCCTACAATCCTTATATCCTGATGTGATTCAACTTATTAATCAGCATTTCCTAAAATAAGTTACATATGTGGAATATTAACAGGACTATGAGGTAATAAAATAATAGATTTAAAAGCCCACTTTTCCCCCAGACGGGACTATTTAACGCCGCGGAGTGAGACATCCTCTCAGATATCGGCGATCTTTGGTCTCTGTCACCATCGCCCCGTTGTTTCGTCCTGAAAGCGGCTCGAGGAGGTCTGACAGTCCGCCTCTCCCTCCATCCTCCGCTGCCGGTGCGGATCGGACCCAGACGGGAGACCCCGGAGCCCCGGAACCGTCTCCGGTGAACCCACTAAACATCCAGAACCGTCGACGAGCAGAGATCCGTTATTTTTCCGCGTTCGTGTCGGACTGTGAGCCGCGGAGGTTCGGTGCTGCTGCAGCGGGGAGATGCTGTCACACACACACACACACACACACACACACACACACACACACACACACACACACGTCACTGATTTAAAAAGAGAGAGAGACATCCGGATCGATCCGACAACCGGAGGACTCTGAGGACAAAGACGGACCCGGATCGATCAGACCACCGAGGAAGTGAAACACTGATCCTCTCACATCCGCTCCGACTGCAAATCTGAAGATCTCGTTGTCATGTCAACGAGATCCGACGAGACTTTCTGGATCTTCTGAAAACTTGAAGGATGCTGAAGCGACTTCCTCCTCTGACCTCCATCCTCCATCTTCATCATCATCATCCTCATCCTCATCCTCACCTTCACGGCTCCGTCTGAGGATTACAGTGATCAGAGTTCACTGATTTCACTTCACTGAGTAAAGCTGCTGAAAAGGCCAATAAATCAATTAAAATGAAATCAGTGAGATTGTAGTTCAACAAACAGTTTAAATTATTTAAAGATGATATTTTTGTATCTGGAAGCAGCAAAACAATCTCACCACAAGGTCTGTTTATGAGTCCCTCCAGGAAGTTAATTTAACCGTAGATTCTGCACGACCTTGAAATTTTGACCAATCGTTGTCACCAAACTCACTTCCTTGTTTCTCCAAAAATTTAGATTTTATTCTCACTGGAACAAGTTGCCTTCGATTTTTAAAGGATTATTTTAAAAAAAATGCTATTTTTGTAATTTTATTGTAAAAAAAATTGGCTAAAAACTTTGCTACATGCATCACAATTTATTATAAAAGCGTCTGAAATACATGAAGCTTAAACTTCAGAGGAGAAGTTGACACTGGAATACGAAGGACGGAGGCTTAAGAGGGACAAAAACACGTCAAAGCACCTCTGTACAAGACTTTTGATGTAATTATAACGTTTCCCAAATGTTCAAATAAGTGAAGTCGACTCTTCAAAGTTTGGATGAAAGAAACTATTTTTCCGGACACACCTGAAAAGACATTAGCTCCACACCTGCTGTACCAAAGTCCAGCCAAAAAATCTACAATTTAACGTCTCTCTGAGCGGTTGTGATTTCAGACCTTTTCCATGCGTCAAAAGAAAACCGTCTTTTAAGCGCCACTACCTGCTGTGATGCTGGACGTGGTGAAGATGAAGGAGGCGTGCAGGATCTGCGCCCGCGAGCTCTGCGGCAACCAGCGGCGATGGATTTTCCACCCGGCGGCCAAGATCAACCTGCAGGTGCTGCTGTCCCACGCTCTGGGCCACGAGCTGACGCGGGACGGCCGCGGGGAGTTCGCCTGCTCCAAGTGCACCTTCATGCTGGACCGCATGTACCGCTTCGACACGGTCATCGCCCGCGTGGAGGCGCTATCTCTGGAGCGCCTCCACAAGCTGCTGCTGGAGAAAGACCGGCTGAGGCAGTGTATCGGAGGCCTGTACCGGAAGAACAACGCAGAGGATGGGAACGCGGCTCCGCCCGGGTTGGCTGTGGAGGTGGTTGGGACTGAGGCGGAGACAGAAGACTCTCCTGTCGTGGATCTGTCTGCCCTTCAGGAAGTAAGATACTCAGATATGATCCAGGATGATCTGACTTACTCTGTGTATGAATCCTGGGCCGATAAGGAGGACGCCACCCTGGACCACCACACCCATCACCACCACCTCCTCCAGTGCCCAGGAGCAGACTCTCTTCCTGGCCAGAAGCCGAGGCGGTGCAGGGGTTGTGCGGCTCTCCGTGTTGCTGATTCTGACTACGAGGCGGTGTGTAAGGTGCCTCGCAAGATTGGGCGTAGGAGCACATCCTGCGGTCCATCTACTCGCTACTCAACAGCCACTCTGGGGGTCGAGGAACCCGCCACAGCTTCTGGAGTATCTGAGGCTACTGCTGTCTCCTTTGAGTCCTCTTCAGCTAGGTTGGACACTGATAAGACCATGTGTGACCGGACAAGTACCAGCCCGGCGTCGTCTGTAGAATCTCTCGACACAGCCGTGGACATGAGTTGCTCTCCTGCGAACCACAAAGAAAGAGAAGAAACGGAACCGGAGAAAGATCCAGAGGAAGCTCAAGCGAGAAGGGACATTCAATGGGCTCTCCCTGGGCTTGACACGATGCTGAGCCTCCTCCGGGGATGGGAGTACCGGCCAGTGAAGCCTCGAAGGGGCAGCAAGCTCCCAGTTTTGGTCAAAGCCAAACTGGAGCAAGGCCTGTCGCTGCACCTTCCCATCCGGCTGAGGTCACCCTGTGGAGGGGCAGCGGACTGCGAGCTGTACCCCCACCAACCTATACCGGAGGTCGTGACCCCGTGTCCCCAGCTGGAGCTGCAGGTGGAGCTGGCAGAGATGGAGGAGCAGTGGCTGGATGATTATGTTCAGTGTGGTCCGTTCCGCTTTCAGCAGGTAGATCTGCAGCCTGGTTACTGGATGACCTCTGACCTCCCTGTAGCTGAGTCAGTGTAGATTTTGTAGCTTTCATATAAGCAGGACAGTTAAAACAAGGAGGCTGTAAGTAGGATTCAGACTATCGACTACTGCAAGGAACCAGAAGTCAGGTTTTCCCGACCTCTGCAGCTTCGATTTGTCCCCCAACTTTATTGAGGAGTGGTATTAAATCACTAGAATCTGAAGTGAGGGGACCTGTTAACTGTGAAGCCCAGTTCAGACCAAAGATTCATGAAGAGATGAGTTTTATATCGTTGCAGAGAACTGACCCGTCTCAGCTCAACCAAAGTCAGCTGATCCTTACCTCTTCCACTCTGTCTTTCAGAGGCTGTAGCAGGCTGAGTTTTAAAGCCTGAGTGAAGATAGCACATATCATATGAAACTAGATGACCTAACGCATCCACCGGTACCAACCATATCATGGTAGCATGTTGGGAAGGGGGCTAAATAATGCTCCAGTAGTAGTAGCAGTAAGTACAGTGAGTTGTTGCTGTGGAGACGATACACCGCCTCAATCTTGTTGCTTTGCTGTAAACAGGCTGGTTTTCAGAACGTTGCCGTTGTGAGTAGTTACAAGTTTCAACTCATCTTGTCACGACTCTTTGGTCTGAACTGGGCAGCTGACAGTGTCCCTTTGCAGCAGGAAACAGAACTGCCCTGGTTCTAGACCTCTGAATCACCACCAACAAACAAAAATGCATTTCGGTCTAATTATCAAGCTAAAACGGGGCAACTTCTGGATGTCTGAGGGACACGTGACCTGGTTTAAAACCTAGATGTTCAATGAAAGTCTGAAAAATACAGACAAACAAATCTGATCCAACTGATGCAAACAAACAAACTTAGAGCTTTGTGCTCCTGAACGAGGTCAAATCTCTCTGGATATTCTGTCTCACTCATCTCCTTCACCACCGCAGCCTTGATTACCCTCTCGGGGGGAGCATACATGCTCGTCCTCGTCGGTATCCTAGCAACGCTTCCGTTGCCATGGGAACAGTCTCCAAGCGCCCTCAGCCGTCTGACCGCGCGAAGGCTCAGTTTGCTCTCCGTGATCCAGTTTCATAACTTCTATTGTTATGTTAATGATTAGTGTGAATGTGGTTCAGTGTGCCAGGAGACAAGACAGTCTATTATAAGCTGGTCTGTTATACAGCAATGTATCTGAACCAGGCGGTACAACAGACCTCTCTCTGGTATGAATGAGGAAATTTACACTCAGGCCATTTAGACGCTCATAAAGAGTATTTAAAGCGAGAGTCTAGTGAAGTAAAAGGCTCCATTTAGTGCTGACCTTTCTGTCAGAGCTCTATTTCAGGACCTGAAACCTCCTCATCATGCAGAAACAGCAGCAATAAATAACTTAATTGGATGTCTCAGTGAGAGAGATTGGTCAAAAGAGTTTGTCTACAGAGACTGAAAGCAGAGAGGCGTCATCAGCTCACAACGTCGCCTCCGCTGGCTCCGACGAACTGCCATGGCGACGACTATGTAACGATAAACTCAACTCATGATACTCGGTTCACGGTACGATTTTCTCCTGATTCTTTTCAACAAAATGAGATTGAAAACAAATAATGACCTAAAGAAAAATATACAATATATATTCTCTTTACTTTTAAATAAAACTAAAGATAAACTGTGAAACTGATAATACGATCCTGTCAGCTACAGAAAACAGCCTCATATCTCTCGTCTGTAATCTTCTTATTTTCTGACTGAGCGAAGCCAAAAATCTGCCACACCTCTGATTTTAAACCTGCAACAAAAGTTCTATGTTAGCTGTGTTTCCTTTCACTGTCCTACAGTTGGACAGTTTTGGGCGGCGGCTGTAGCAGCTGTAGAGTGGAGTGACATCACAGCGTTACACAGATAATAAAAACAAAAACAAGGAAGTCAACAACACGCTGCCGTGGCAACAGCTGCTTACCCAGGAAGTCATCCAGCAGTGAACTGACATCACTTTCCACTTTCGCTCAATCACACACTCAACAGCTGCAGAGAGAACGTTTCCATCTTTCCACCACCGACTGACCTCTGCTGTTATTTTAGATACATAAAAGCTGATGTAATCGTTGTTTTTAATTAGATTTTGATTTGATTACTTATGTAAGCAACAAGTGGCTGTCACAATATACAAGTCTTCAGTTTTATGCCCCGAATAATCAGACTTTACAAACTGTTTGAGCTTTAATATCTTCTATGTTCGTCCAGCTGCTGCCTACAGTGCAGAGCTGCATGTTGCCGTTGTTAGTTGACCTCTGGTGTGTCTGTGTGTCTTTCAGAGGCTGATTGATGAGCAGCAGGGTCAGCTCAGCCAGTACGAGAGCGCTGCAGGTCAGTGTGTCGGTGAGCTGCAGAAGGCCCAGGACCAGGTCCACTCGCTCCAGGCCAAGATCAGAGAGAGCGAGACCAGGAACCAGGTACAAACACAACCCTCCTCCTCCTCCCACCTCCAGACCTACACTTCATCCATCTGAATCTGCTTTCACACAAGCTCTAATGCTAAGCTAATGTTGTATACTGAGGCAACTCTGTGTGTGTGTGTGTGTGTGTGTGTGTGTGTGTGTGTGTGTGTGTGTGTGTGTGTGTGTGTGTGTAGAAGCTGCAGGAGCGCCTCGGTGAGATGGAGTTGGAGCTGCGTTCGGCCCAGGAGGAAGCCCAGCGACAGGAGAGAAACATCCAGAACATCACTGATACCGTGAACTCCAAGGAGGCACAGGTACAGGCAGGCAGACAGGCAGGCAGGCAGACAGACAGACAGACAGACAGACAGACAGACAGGAAGGAAGAGTGAACAAATGAGGGCAGGCAGAAATAAACAGGAAAGAATACATTTAGACAGGAAAACGACAGCAGTGTCAAAACCGAAAATAGACAAAGAATGCACAGTTTCTTTATTAAACAGTGTGTGTGTGTGTGTGTGTGTGTGTGTGTGTGTGTGTGTGTGTGTGTGTCTGTGTGTGTGCAGGCTGCAGAGCTGTATCGGGTGATTGAGGAACAGAATAAGATGCTGTGTTCACTCAAAGAGCTCGCCAACCGCAACCAGCTGCAGCAGCTGCAGGTTCGTCCTCACATCCACTCCCTCCACCAGGATCTCACATCAGAAGTGTTCAACACTGAGCTACGTTTTCCTCCTGTGTCTGTCCCTCTCTGGCTGTTACCTGCAGGTGTCCGGTGCAGAGAGTATTCGAGGTCAGGGTGAGGTCCTGGCTCTGCAGGCGTCTCTCTTCCAGGCTCAGCTGGAGCTGCAGGCCGGTCAGCGGGCGCAGCATCAGGCGGCCAGGACGCAGGAGGACCTGAGCCGAGCCCTGCAGAGGCTGGAGAAAGACCTGCAGGGGGCGCTGCAGCACAGGAGGGACACAGAGAGACACAACCAGGTGAGGGACTCTTTTTCTCTGTGTTCCCTGAGAGATCCCCTCACATCCCGGTTCTTCCTGTTAACGTGTGTGTGGTTGTGTGTGTGTGATGTTCAGGACCTGCAGCTGGCTCTGGAGAAGGCTCGATCATCCCTGCAGGAGAGAGAGGAGCAGCTGAGTGAGCGTGAGAGGGAGAGGCAGAGGCGGGACGAGGAGAGAGAGAAGACCATCAGAAAGCTGAGGACGTCCCTGCTGTCCAAAGAGCAGCTGATAGAGGTCAGAGGTCACTCACACTGTGTACAGTAAACAGCTCCTCCCAGGCTGCACCAGCACTTACAAACACTCACACACAGGAATGTGCACTGCTCATACAAACAGAAACCCCACAGCTGAATGTGGAAGTGCAACAGGCTGACGTCCGTCTGCCAACCGCTGCGAGGACCGGCTGACCTGTAGTGACTCATAGCTCCAGATTATTCTGCAATCTCTCTTAACTTCCTCTAACGTGCTCATTTTTAAACTTATTGTTCCATTAAAGGACTCGACTTTGACAGATGTGTCCACACTGAGCTCCACCCAGGCCCCACCTCACACACACTTCAATTTTATTTCTATAGCAGGACACTCAGGACACTTTCAGTTCCAGCTCCTTATTAAATTATTCATACATCCGACAAATCCCGTCATGAGCAAGCACTTGGCGACAGCGGCAAGGAAGAACTTCCCTTTAAGAGACAGAAACCTCAAGCAGACCTTCAAAACTCCCCCGCTGGGGCGCCTGGTCTCTTCCCCTCTCTCTCTACAGCTGCTATTATCAAATAAAGGCATCCCCCAAAAATAATGTCTAAAGAAACAAACATGGCTCTTGAAGAAGCACAGGCTGACAGTGCGCGCGCACACACACACACACACACACACACACACACACACACACACACACACACACACACACTGACTGTGTTTCCTCTCAGGACTGTGAGCTGCTGGAGGATCCGAAGGAGAAGAGAGACTCTCTGCTTCAGAAACTCCGCCAGCGTATCAAGGAGAGAGACCGAGCTCTGGAGGTAAGTTCTGTATTCAGGGGCGTGTCCAGAGGGGGCGGGGCTAGGCCTGCAGCGGGCTCTGTAGGCTAGCATGTCGGGAAGAGGCGAAACTAATGGCCATTTTCAAAGGGATCCATTGACCTCTGACCTTCCCACGAGTCTCTCCTTTGAAGACACTAATCCCTAATCCCATGAAGTTTTGGGGGCAAAAAAACTGTGGTATAAATGTGTAGTTTCATTTAATTAGTGCCTTTATTGATGAAGATTTAATTTAATTAACCCCTTGTTCAAGAAAGCCTCATTGAGATTAACAATCTGTTTACAACCAAACACATAAATCAAGCTGAAACAATTACTGTTCCATTTCTATTTATTTATTTTAATTGTTGTTTAGAAAAAGGAAGACAATAAATTAAAGAACAGTAACAGACAAACATAATCTGAACAGTTAGAAGAGTGGAAAACTAACAACAACAAGATAATAAAATAAAATAAAAAGTTTATAATTTATACAAAAGGAGAGCATAATCAAAACTAAAGGACTGCAGCTCCATTAGCAGTTAGTCAGTTCTTCATTACTTTAATGAGACTTCATTTTAAATACTTTGGTACAGACTGTGAACGTAGTGAGTGAGTCGCCGTCTGCCGCCGCGTGCTCAGGGATTCCTCAATAAAAGTGTCAGTAAGGAGCTCTCTGAACGGTTAAATTAGATATATAAAACCATTGAATTGATTGATTGAACCTTTGTTCGTGCAGCGAGCGGTGGACGAGAAGTTCCGCTGCGTGGAGGAGAAAGAGGAGGAGGCTCGTCGGCTTCAGCTGCTGCTCAGAGAGAAGGAGAGAGACCTGGAGAGGCAGCGCTGCGTCCTGGCCAACAACGAGGAGACCATCACGGTAAGAACCCACAGATCGCACTTCCGGTCGCTCTCACCGTCACACCTCCACCGCTCACTGACGGCTGTGTGTGTGTGTGTGTGTGTGTGTGTGTGTGTGTGTGTGTGTGTGTGTGTCAGAGCCTCGAGGTGCTGGTGCGAGGGAAGGCTCTGGAGCTGGAGCAGGTGTGCGACGCCTGGAGGAACGTCCAGCGGCAGCAGCAGGACAGCGAAGAGAGACAGAGCCGCATCCTTCGAGAGAGAGACGCCATCATCGGTCAGCTGCAGGCGGCGCTGCACGCTCGCACGCAGGAAGCCCAGGTACACACAGGAAGTGATGTAATATCGGCTGTGATCTGTTCTTCAGCTCTCTTTCACTGTGTCTGCAGCCGTAGTGTAATTGTGATTAAAGGAATATTTCAAAATAAAAGCATACTGTTCACACATTTTTCTTTCAGACTAGTCGAATCTAAATTTAAACGTATTACAGATTATTTATCTGTTTCTTCTCTGTAGGACCTGCGCTGCTCCGTACTGGCTCAGATCCAATCTGCTCCCAGCGACGTCCTGGAGGAGCTGAAGGTCCGCCTCCAGCTCAAAGACCGCCTCTTCCAGGAAGTGCTGGCCGACCGTACACACCAGGCCCAGGAGCACCAGGAGCAGGTGCAGGGTCTGCTCAGAACCATCGGCTCCAGGGACCAGTACATCCAGGTAGAGCAGAGGAGCTGTGTAGAGGTTCTTACAGGTCCAGAATAAAGTCCTGTATGGATAAACTGACAACAATCTCCCTGCAGGACTCCGCGAGCCGCCACGGGGAGGTGATGACCGAGCAGACGGCGAGGCTCCAGGAGCTCCGCAGGCAGCTGAGCTCAGCTGTCGGATCGAGGCCTGATCCTGGAGCGGACCTGGCTGTGGAGCTCCAGGCCGTGCAGGAGGAGCTGCGTCTGGCTCTGAGGAGGGAGAAGGAGAGCCAGGAGCTGAGCTGGAGTCAGGCTACCAGGGTGGACTCCCTCACCAGGACCCTGCATGTGAAGGAGGAGATCATCAGGGTCAGTGTTAGTGTTTCATCCTCTATTAAACCAGCATTTTCTGTTTCTTATTAATGCATGTGTGCGTATATGTGTCCTGCAGGACTTCCAGAGGCAGTTGGTGGAGCCCTCAGGTCTCCCGCTGGTGGAGCGGTTGACCCAGGAGCTTCAGGAGCTGAGGGAGAGCCTGGGGCAGCAGGACGGTCCCCCAGTCAGAGGCCCCATCCCGGGCCGCGACCGGCCCAACAGCAGGCAGCCTGAGTTTGGAGGTGGGCATCAGAGAAGCATGGGACAGTATCTGTAACAGCAGCGGCCGGGGGGGGCCCTTACCGCGGTGTGGGGCTCAGAGTGCAGCGTCCTGCTGCTGGTGGTGGTCTTTGTGCCGGGTGTAAATACTAACTGAACATTTTTGTATTGTAACCAGTGATGGTGACGGACTAACCGAGCCCGCCTGCACGCTTCTAAACACTGAATGGTGTTCTGTTTGATTAATGAGATGTTTAAAACCCCTCAACAAGCAGCAGGATTGTTTTACCTCTTGGCATGGGGTTAAAGGTCCAGTGTGTAACATTACGTCAGAATAGAGCCACTAGATGCCACTGAATCCAACACACTGGTCCTTTAAATGTTCACTCAAACTTAACAAACTTTACATTGTTTGAAAGCAAAAAGCTTCACAGTTCTGTGTGTTTTAAGATCCCACATTCACTGCAGCTGTTACCTGTTTTTTACCAGGAGAACATAGAAAACAAAACAGTGAAAAAAGATCTTAAGAAGGCGAAAGGAACCCTGTTTGTGTGTCAGTGGTTCACTATCATTCTGACTGTAATTGAAAGGCTTAAAGAACAGAAACCATTTTATTTTGTGCACAAACAGCAAGGCTCTTGTTGAGGGGTTGGGTATACTGAAGGAAATATCGACGTACTCTCTGTTAGAGGGCGGTGGAGGTCCTATTCCAAAATACAACCGAAAACAAAATAAAATAAAATACATCAAATAATTCATACATACTAATAATTACTTTACTGATTTTCATCTTAATTCACATTCAATTATTAAAACTGATTCCTGAAAGTCTGAAAATAGCTATAATTATAATTTTTTTAATTCATTTTGTAAATGGAACATGTTTTTTTAATCATTTTGTCATTTTGGAACAATGTTAAAGATGCAGTAGGTAACTTTTATTTAAAAACAAAGTGTCCATTTTTCTATAAAAGTTACTTACTGCAGCTTTAATTCATCTGGCTAATTCAGAAATAGATGGAAAATGTATTTTATTTACTTTTTTGTAAATGTTTCAATGCAGTTTAACCTGAATTTCCTTTCAGCTGCTTCCTCCTCAACATATTTTCTGTTTTGTTTGATACCAAGCATCATTTACTGTGAAATGGTGCTGTAATTGTTCTGTATTTCACCATAATATCTGCTCACGTACACCAGTGATGATATATTCCCTCACGTGTGTGTCAGTGTTTGCACGTCCCGCAGCTTGAATGAGTTTTTGAATGCTGTACACTGTTTGAACTCACGCTTTGTGTTACAATACGAGCACATTCCACGTTGCTTTCATGTGATTATGATCCCGTATACGTAGTTTAATGGATGCTTACATTTATTTAAATGTGAGTTTGCTTCTGCGGTTTTATGAGACTTTATGTGCAATTCAGCAACCGTCAGCTGTGGTTCAATATTAATGAATATGATCATAAAGAGTGTCACACTGGAGCACAGTAAGTATGAATGTTTCTAATTATTGATCTTAAAACTGAAGAAATGTGACTCATTATAGTTATAAACAATCAGATATTATATTTTATTTATACATTTTCAAACATGTAATCGAGCTGTTTAATAAATAAACCTTACGTCATGAATTTATGATTTAAGGTGCTTATCATGGTTCATATTATATTTTTGAAAGAACAACAGATCATAACAGACGTTACTATATCTCATATTTATAAAGTTCAAAATACAAAGAGGAGTGAAACAGACAAACACACACAGTCTTCCCCTTATATTAATTAAACCTGCATAAAATAAATGAATAATAATAATAGTGATGGTAAAAATAAAGTGCCTTGAACGTAGTTACAGTCAGAGTTATCAGTGCATTATGTCAGATGGCAGTTATTTTATTACTTCCTCTATAGACATACTGTATATGATATCAACACATATATGTTCTCACTCAATCACCAAAAACAAACCCTTCACACAGAAACTGAAGTTTTCTCCTCCTTGCTGTGTGGATTTGTGTCCGACTGAAGCCCCAAAAATACACAATAATTATATGAATAACACACTTTACACACATTTGAATGTGAGTTCATCAGCATACAAAATATAAGCATAGGATAAGATACGATAGACTTTATTGATTCCACGCTGGGGAAAGTTTGCTTGTTACAGCAGCTCCAGAAAACAACACATAAAATAAGAAAAAGGCCTCGTTTTCAGTCTGTAAACTCAGAATTCTTTAAAATAAATCCAAATTCACCAAGAAATTAAAGCTTTGTATTGGAAAGACTATATGTATCACACTACAGAGGTTACCAGCCCATACATTGTGATATATTGTAAGCAGGGCAATATACTGTGATTTATATATAAATATATAAACATTGTATTTATAGACTTTTAGGAAAACTATAAAGAACACAAACAGTGATCTGCTCACACAACGGTTGACGGTTTAAACACAAAAATCAATAGTGTTTTTGAGAATTGATAAATATCAAACAACAAAATATATTGCAATATACTGTAAAAAAGAAGATAAAACTTTTCAAGACAACTGTCCTCATTATTATTTTTAATACGTTAAACTCAAACACATTTTTTTAAATAAACTAATAATAATTTAGTTTAGCAAACTATATTTAAAAAAACCATAAAAAAAACTAATAATTTAACATTTTTAATTGCCCTATTTTATTCATTCAAGCACTATAATGAAGGTTTTATAGCTTAACAAGTTTTTCTAAATAAGAAAAGTAAATTACCTCAACAAAAGCTTATAGGTCAGAGTTTTACAGTGTATGTGTATCAATCAGTTCTTATAAGAAATGATTGACTGCTTAAAACATTTTTCAACTCATATTCTTTTTTTATTTAATTAAATAAATTATATAATTAATTAAATCTGGTGGTGAAACATAATTTTATTTTAGCTTAATTTCTTTGCCTAAAATAGTCGAATATACAGTAAATACTGAATAATAAACAATATCTGAATCAGACCTTAATTTAATTAAATGTGTAATTATGGGAATAAAGCTCCTCCTCAGGTTGTTAAAATCCCTCAAACTCACAGAAACAGCTCTGAGGTGTGACTTCACTGTCCTCTACAGCAATGACATGAGACTAAATTCATTCATTCATTCAGTAAATCGGGTTTTTACAACCCTACATACAGCTCATTGTTCATTTCCTCAGCGCAGATTACCCACAATCCTCTGTTTAAACATCTTAATCTTTATAAATCCCGTCCCTTTCAGCAGTTTCAGTTTGTCTCTTATTGTGCACAGAGAAGTTTACAACAATAAAGTGCAGTTAATGACACATAGTGACCATCATACAGTGAACTATACGAGCTGTTTATATGAGCCTACAGTTAAAGACTAATATGGGATAATGAAGACTGAACAATGTGAGCAGCTCTTCCAGAAACAACCCGATGTGTATTCAGTGTGGACAGTGGACAGTGGACAATGTGGACAGTGTGACAATGTGGACAATGTGACAGTGTGACAGTGGACAGTGTGGACAGTGGACAGTGGACAGTGGACAGTGTGGACAGTGGGACAGTGGACAGTGGACAGTGGGACAGTGTGACAGTGGGCAGTGGGCAGTGTGGACAGTGGGACAGTGGGACAGTGGGACAGTGTGAACAGTGGGCAGTGTGGACAGTAGACAGTGGGACAGTGTGACAGTGGACAGTGGACAGTGGGCAGTGTGGACAGTAGACAGTGGGACAGTGGACAGTGGGGCAGTGGACAGTGGGCAGTGTGGACAGTGGACAGTGGACAGTCTGACAGTGGACAGTGGACAGTGTGACAGTGGACAGTGGGCCAGTGGACAGTGTGACAGTGGACAGTGGGCAGTGTGGACAGTGTGACAGTGGACAGTGGGACAATGTGACAGTGGGCAGTGGACAGTGGACAGTGTGGACAGTGTGACAGTGGGACAGTGGGACAGTGGGACAGTGTGGACAGTGGGACAGTGGACAGTGGACAGTGGACAGTGTGACGGTTGCTGAACTGCACTCAGGAAACAGAAACGTAAAAGAAGTTCTCATCATGACACAGATCTAATTGTTTGTTTTTTTCAGAACTGAGCTCGGAGGACGAAGACGAGGACGATCTGAACAGCGAGTACACTGAGAGCGTTGATGAAGATGAGTCCAAGGTACGAACACGTCTGAAGCTCAGAGTTCAACTACTGAAGCTGTTTTATTAATAGAAACAGGTCTTCTGGGTTTATAATGTGGAGTTTGAATCCAGTAGAGAGCTTTAATAGTTCTTTAATAGGTGATTTTAATAGTTTTATACCCTTAAATCACAATACAATCTATATATCTGTGTTCTCTGGTAGCCTTGTTGTATACTTTTATTCTGAAAATTCTGATGATTTATCTATTTTTGGAGTTTATATTTAGAGTTTCAGGTTGATTTGTCTGAATAGGATTGAATGGAGTATATTTGAATTATATTTAAATTCCCTCTAAAAGAGTTCTTGGTGCAACATTTCAAACTAAATGAAGGCAGGAGACAGATTGTCTTCATAAGAATGCATTCAGTAACAGAACTTTAGTTTTACTTCACTTTGTATAGAAAGTTACACTTCTCGGGCTCATTACTAAAACTTCAGGCACACTGTCTGTCTGTCTGTCTGTCTGTCTGTCTGTCTGTGTGAACAGGGCTCTGGAGGAACAGGAAAGGCTCCGTCCCAGGATCTGTTATTCGAAGGTCAGGGACTGATGGAGGTCAAACAGCTGGTGGAGCAGAAGAGGGCGGTGGAGAGAGAGCTGGGAGAGCTGAAGGCTCAGCTGGAGAAGGCCGGCTTCTCCTCTCTGTCACAGATGAGGTAGGACGGTCACTTAAAGGAGAAAGCCGTGGTCACGTTTTATATTTCAATCAGTGGAAACTACTCCTGTGATCAACCTTTGCTATCACAGGAAACTCACAAACTGACTTATCTTCAAAATGTGGTTGTCTTTGCGATAAAGATTAGCTTAGCACGTAGCATATCTCAGCACAGGAAAGGAGGAAGTTGACGAGGTTCGCTCAAATGTTATTGGAGCGCTTGGCAAAAGGGGCGGGGCTTAGGAAGGGAGGAGCCACAGACAGGAAGTGAAAGTATTGAGAGACGAGCTAACGTGTGTTGACAATAAGAAGAACACAGAATAACCGGAAACGTCTCCATTAAACTTAAAGATGCATGACGCAGTTGTTGGTCCACTAGAGGGCAGCAGGTCATTAATGCCCGTCTGTTTTAAAGGAAAGCTCTGTTCAGCCTGCGAGCGGAGAACGGAGATTTAAAGCTTCAGCTGACTGAAGGGCTGCAGCCCGGCGGGAAACAGAGCGAGGGACAGAAGGTGCTAGACGGCGAAGAGGAGGAGGAGGAGGAGGAGGAGGAGGAGGAGCTGGATGTGACCATAGAAGGGGTGGAGGAGGAAGAAGAGGATATCTCTGAGCTGTGGGACGCCTGGGACGGCGAGCTGACTCTGTCACAGACCAACATCCAGATGAGTGACGAGAGGAAGAAGACAGCCAACAGGCCTGAGACGCTGCGCCTCGTCCCCAGCTCCTCACAGGTAGAGGACCCCCCCCCCGCAGAGATAGTAGCTCTATATAACAATAAAACCATCCTAAAAAACAGTTTCTTTATTCCTTCCAGGTCGGTACAGATGGCGAGGCGTCGGCCGGCCAGCAGCAGGGCGCCGTGATGAGCGAGAAGACGGTGCGTCTGCAGCAGAAGAGCCAGGAGCTGAGGGAGAGACTGATGGTGTCTGAAGCCACAGTGCAGGCTCAGGCCGAGCAGCTCAAAGACTACAGAGAGCTGCTCAGTGAGTGCGCACGCCCACCGACACACAACCAATATCCTCAAATAGAATCACATTGTCATTGTCATCTGCCAGTGGGGTCGGACAATGTTATCGAGACACTGAAAGACTGTCATCGGCCTTAAAACTGGGGAAAATGCCAAAAGTGTTATTAAAATAAGTATTTTTGTCTCTTTATTGAGCTGAATTTAAGAATTTGTACCTTTTTAATCTAAGAGTCATAACTAGCAAAACTTACAATAAGACACATTTTCTTCAAACAGCATCATAACAATAAGTGACTTTGTGTTAAATGAACCAGAAACATTCTTATTTTTATCATTATTAAAATAATGAAAACCTAAACAGCTGCTTATCTCCAACACTGGGAAACTGAGTTTGTGTGAGTGCTCTTACTCTGAAAATAAGGACAATAATCTGGTTCCTCTGCTGGGATATTATGCAACCGTTGATGTTCCTGGTTAAATCCACCTCAATATTAGCTGGAATATCTTATTAAGACACAGATAGATTTTCTTAAAACCAGATTCTGATGCAGAACATGCTTGATAAGATTATTTTATTGACAAAAATAAGACTCATTCCCCAGAAACAAGACTGTGTTACTTTATTCAGATTGTATATAAAGTGTTATATGTCTCAATAATGTCTAAATAATCTGTAATCTGTTTTCAACACTGGAGTAAAGCTCATTCTTGTCTCTGCAGCGGAGACCTCCGTGCAGCAGGACAGTAAGCAGATCCAGGTGGACCTGCAGGACCTGGGCTACGAGACCTGCGGCCGCAGCGAGAACGAGGCCGAGAGGGAAGACACCAGCAGCCCGGGTACGTCTGAGGGCTGAATGACACAAAGACAGTGAAAACAACTAAACACTGTACTAATGTTCAATATCAGTCTGTTTCCTGTTGTTGTAATAACATCTTAAAACCACCAGAGGGAAGCAAAGTCCTCACATTCCCTCAGCACTACATTATAAAATGTCTCTGCACAATGACAGTACTTCAGATGATCACTTTTCTTTCTGTATCTATATTCTAACAGTCCAGAATATGTGTGCACAACCCTTATAAAGATCTGACATGAATGTGTCCCCTCACAGAGTTTGATGACCTGGAGATGTGTACGTCTCTGGACTGTGGTTCCCAGTGGTGGCCCGCCAACAGCAGCAGCAGCAGCTCCACCTTCACTAAAACCACCGCCGCCACCCAGAGCGATGGAGACGAGTCGTCCCTGCAGCGCCTCGTCGAGGACCTTCGCTCCCAGCTGTCCCGCTCTCAGGCTGTGATCCGCGGCCTCCAGAGCCGGCTCCGCTCCCTCTCAACATCCAGCGACTGCACGCCCTCCACGCCCCGCAAGGTCAACTGGTCCTTCCAGGCTTCACCCTCCCAGAGCGGGGCGGAGGACGACGAGGGCTGGCAGTCATCCGACGGAGGGCCCCTGGCTTCCCCCCGGCACCCTCACCCAGACAAGGGCCTGCAGGCTCTGGTGTCCCGTGTGGACGCACTGGAGGACCAGCTGAGGAAGGGAGGCAAAAAGTCTGTCAGTGAGGACGGAAAGTCTGCCACCTGGCCGGGGTGAGCGACAGGAGATACACAGACATATATGTACATATATAAATACACAGACATATATGTACATATATAAATACACAGACATATATGTACATATATAAATATACAGACATATATGTACATATATAAATACACAGACATATATGTACATATATAAATACACAGACATATATGTACATATATAAATACACAGACATATATGTACATATATAAATACACAGACATATATGTACATATATAAATACACAGACATAGAGCAGAGAATAAGTTCCATCTTTATATAGAAACACAACTAAAAAATAAAACAAATGTTAAGACAAAAAGTTCAAATTCTAAATAACTTAATAATAAAGTTAATTATTAAATAATTAATACATTAGCAGTAAATCTGATTCATTGTGGTGTTTCATTGCACTTCCTGGACATTGTTTCACAATAAAAGCCAACCAGAAAAAGGAGGGATTGAGAAACATCTGTACCGGAAGGGTTCAGTTTCATTGAACAAAAATATGTGGAAGCGATCAGAAATAATAAATGAATGAAAACATTAATTCTGCTATAAAAGAGAAAGTGATTTCAGCAGAACAAAGCTATTATAGTTAAATAAAACAAACCTGAAAACAAGGTGTGAAAACATTTTAGTGAATCTTTGTCTTTGTCAGTTTGGTCCAATTTGTCAACACAAGAAGTATAAGGAGGCAAATACTCCCCATATTGTAATAAATAAACTAAAACTAAACTTTTTAAAAATGGAAAAAATCTGAAAACACATCAGTCTGGAAACTAAACTGAAATAAAAACTATTGAAAACTATAAAACTATAATAATTGTGCGGAAGAGTGGTCACAAGACTGTTATTGCATTAATGGAAACTTTATTTATTTCTTTATTTATTTATTTATTTATCAAAGCAAAACTTTGAGGAAAACAAGGAGACGTCTAAAATACTAAAATATGATAAAAAGCTTCTAAAACAGGAGAAATAAGTGTTTCTCTTTGCATTTGAAATAAAGATTTGACAGTATATCCATATAAAAGCAGTGGTGTGCTGCTCTGATTCAGATAAAGTGAAGGAGGACTGTACAGTGCAGATGTGTGATCCATTAATCACTGCAGGCATTAAACGTGGCGTCAGTCTCCGTCAGTGTCACTCTGTGGTAATCAAGCGTAGCCGCAGATGTTTCTGTGTAAACTCAGCTGACCTGACAGTCAGCAGGGGATTAACTAACACGAGGTCGGGAACACGCTGTCCCGTTTGCCATGTGTGACCAGACTGTAGCTGCAGTGGAGCTTCAGCGCCGTCATTCAGTGGCTGATTACTGTTACAGACCCCGTGTGGAGTCCTGAGCCCAGCATTCATCGGCAGTGCCCACCGAGTGTGTGTTTAGTGGTTTTATATTAGAAATTCAGTTTCCACTGGAGGTCACACTAGAGCACGAACATCTCAGACCAAAACAATGAGACAGAAAGCAGCTGAAACTCACCAAAACTGCAGACAACAACTAATAATACTCATGGAAAGGGCCGCAGCGTAATCTAACACTAATCCTTGGGTTAAAATACACCCATTAAAGTCCACTAACAGTAGTTGTTTGTTCCACTGACAGACTCAGGTTGTTATTGTCAGTGTCTGACAGCATTATGGAAAGGATCCCTACAGAGATAGACCTTTAGTTTAACCACAAACAGCCGTAATATCACTATCACTCTCCACCAGACTCCAGAGACAGAAACACTCATTTTACCTTCAGATCATCGTAACTTCATTAAAGTGAACAGAAACAGAATAAAACTCATTAAAAGCGTCTCTGTTAGTGTTTCCAACAATCACCAACTCTGGTTTGGTGGAATTAAATCCTTGAATAAATAAAAGGGGTCCATCCATTTGAAAGGTTCACAGATCTTCGTGGCGACTTTATTTAACACTAATTTGTGTTTTTGTCTCTTTGTAGTAAATTCGACACTCTGATCCAGACTCAGGCCAGAGAGCTGTCTCACCTCCGCCAGCGGCTGAGGGAGGGTCGGGGGGTGTGCAACATCCTCACCCAGCACCTGGGAGACACCACCAAGGCCTTCGAGGAGCTGCTGAGGGCCAACGACATCGACTACTACATGGGCCAGAGCTTCCGGGACCAGCTGGCTCAGAGCGGCGCTCTGGCACAGCGAGTCTGCGCCAAGATCAGCGGACGTGAGTCGTCCCCTCAGTGTTCCTACGGCGTGATGTTTGAATGAAGTTTGAATGATGTTTGAATGATGTTTGAATGATGATTGACACTCGAAGGATGTTTTCACAGTCAGCTGCTGAAAGTGGAATTATCATTTAGATTAAAAATTTGTTTTTTAAATGACTTTTTAAGGACTTTAGTGTGGAAATTATAATATTAGTTTAAAATTTTGATTGCCTATTAAATATTTATAATTGTTAAAAAATAAATAAATGAATAACAAAGGCGGATAATTGTGGAAAAACTAATCTATGATCAATATTCACATTATTTAATTAAACCCTTCATCAGGAAATCCTCATTGAGATTAAAATGATGTTATTTAAATGATTTTTTTAAGGATTTTATTGTGGAAATTATACTGGGTATTTTCCAGTAAAACGTATCAAACACATATTATTGTGAGGCCTTCTTCATTTTAAAGGGTGTAAGAAGAATAGATTTCATTCATTTCTAACTAAAACGTGAAGTGAAATTGTTAAAGTTTAGATTATTATTGAGATACAAACTTACTTACTTAGTATAAATGTTGAATTTGTCAAAAAAGAAGTTTGTATGATTGTTAAAAAAGATTTGAATTGAATATAATGTGAAATATCCTTAAAATAGATCCCTTAAACAAAGAAGGTCGGGAACCACTGGTCGTAACACATGGATCTTTAACTTCATTATTTACCAACATACGGAGTCTCAGACTGTCTGATTGATTTGAAGTGTAACTGAGTGTAAAGAGTTAATCACATTAATGCTCTTTCTCTTCCAACAGGAGATCACCCCGAAGATCCAGATGAGAAGACAGAGCTGCTCGCCATCCGGTCAGTGTGTGTGTGTGTGTGTGTGTGTGTGTGTGTGTGTGTGTGTGTGTGTGTGTGTGTGTGTGTGCGTGCAGGCTCTGTGTCGGTCGGTCAGTGGAAAGTATCGCTGCGTGACTCTCGGGCTCCTCGGGGCAGAACAATCAGATGCTCGCTCTATAATGAGCGATGATCTCACTTGATGATTGATGACAGAGCTAATTGGGTAATTATTAATGGGGGGAGGGGGGATGGGGGGGCTGGATGGATGTGTAACTACCACAAGGGCACAGATAAACTCTCTGAATCTATTTCCTTATGGTTCTTACTGATCTTACTTTAAAACCACCACATATTAACACCGTCTGAACAGTGGCTACTCATTTACTAGCAGTCAGCATTCAAACAGTGTGTCAGCTCTTATTTCCCGCCACTGGTTGCAGCTGGCCGGGCCGTCTCGTTTGGGCCCGCCGGCGTCAGGGAAGCTGCTCTGACGTCACATTGCTGCGGGGGCAGAGCCGCGGCCGCCCTCCACCACCAAACATTCATCCAAACTATACAACTCATTAGTTTCTTGCCGGGGAGCCGTGGCCGGCGGGGGACAGCTGACGTCCGAGCGAGGACCTTAACTGTCCGGTCGATTGGTCGGCTAATTAGGCGGACGGCAAAAAAGAGGAAGAGAGGGATGATGAGGGGACGAAAGAAGAGAGAAACAAAAGGGCAGCACAAGTGACATCAGGACAAACGGTTATACAAGAGGAACAAAAAAGTTTAAAGTTGTGCTGTAGATTCTTTATTTATTCCAATAACAGTGTGCTGCTTTAACAGGAGAGGAGCTAAAGGGTTGGCTACAGGAATGATGTCGTGCAGCCTTTAAATTTCCACTAATTAATATCTTTATACTTGTAATAAATCAGATTGCCATGTGTAATGTGAAAGGTGCTGTTCATAGTGACAAACCCAACCAACTGAGCACTTTCACGGAGCCTTTTAGCCTCTTTTAGCTGCTGGTTTTGGTTTTGTGGGAATTGGACTTACGTTGCAGTGGGATGATCATGTTGCTCTGTGTCTCATGGACGAGTAATGAGTAAACTTTTTGGCACAATTACTTTTTAAGGTGATTGTATATCGGGGCTGTGGGAACCATATTATTTACCATACCATACCACATTTTACCTCGCCTAGGCATGACAGTGCAACACGTACTTGTGCTTTCAAAATAAAGTGCAGTTTGGTTAGGTTCAGGAAAAGACCACAGGTTACACTGAGTTTGGTTTCATGTGGGACATAAACAGCTGAGAGGATGTGTTTGAATTGCATCAGCAGCAAATTCAAACAAGAGCGGAACAGAAAACGGAGACATTGTACTAAAATATGATAAAATATGCTCATAAAACAGGATAAATTAGGAATAATAACTTTTTGAGATTTTACAGTATGAATGATTTGTCACAAACGTACAGAAACACTGGTGTGATCCTTTGATGAAGATAAAATACAATTATCTTTAAAGTCTTTAAAGGACTTTAAAGTACAGATCAGCCTGTACAAGTATTGAGGACATCTTTTCTTAAATGTGCCTCTCAAGATGGAAAATGTTCATAAGATTTTCCCACAGTTACTCAAAATTATCCAAAAACCTCAGAATAAACAGTTTTTTTGGAACTATTTCTTCAGTTAAAGTTTGAAAAACAGCCCATAAAGCTTGACTAATTAAAGCTCCTCAAGTGCTGTATAATGTATAAAGCCCCCCTTTTTTTTTTTTTATGAATATTGCAGATACAGCCCGGGAGCATGTGGCCATCTCTTCTGGATGAGTGATGAACGTCCTGAATGTTCACTCACTTGTATCACGACACTTAATTCTGTTTCGTAACCTGAGTTAATGAAAAGCAAATCACAGTTTATGAACTTTTAACTGCACAAAAGCCTTTATGATCCTTTAAAGCTGTTGTTGTTGGGTGGAGAAAGGTGAGTGTCGGGTCAAACAAACAATGCTCTGTGAATAATTAGAGATGCCCACAGAGAGACATAGAGGCAGACAGAGAGAGAGAGAGAGGCCTGCAGTAATCTAATATTGCAGCGCAGATGGCCGACCAGATGTGAAGGAGAATTATCGAGTGTGTTTTCTGCGACAGTCATCTCATTTCCACTGTCCCTCTCTGAGTGTACACCCAGTGTGTGTGTGTGTGTGTGTGGAGGGGTTGTATCCTGTCCATTAACATATACATTAACTTAATTCACACTAAGACTGTGGCGATGATGCATGAAAAGATAGAGAAAATAACAACCCTGACTTATAAAATGATGTTTTGATGTTACTTGCTTTGAACGAAACCCAGTTTTATATCAACAAACACGTTTAAAGAATGTGTCTAAGGATATCTCATAACCGCTAAAGCAAGATTAACATCGTTATGTGCAGACAGACAAAGGCACGCTTGCTTGAAGCACGAAGGAAGCATTTATTTTTCAATACTGAACTAGAACCAAGATTTTAACCAGTGTCTTTATTATCTGGCAAATCTGTTCTGTAGTATTATGGATGGAGACAATAAGCACACCTGGGAGTACAATATTACACTATTATCACTTACTGAAGGATAAAGGCGAGCTTTGGTTAAATCACCAACGTTTTAAAATGTGTTTGTAGTCCCAACCGAGTAAACTTCACCAGTGGGTCAGTCATTAAAAACCTACACAGGGTTCCAGTTCTAACCTGAGCTAGGTCTCTAAAATAACTAACGTTGGGACAGAGATAAATAAATAATAACCTGACAGATGTGCTTTCCATGAGAGAGAGAGAGAATTCTGCCCTTTTTGATAACATATGAAAGCAGGTGTGGGAGGATGCGTGGAGTCAGCAGAATGTAAGAGAGTAGCCGTGAACGGAATTAAAACTCATTACATAAAAAATGCATTATTTGCCATTAAAATAATGGTTGTGGTCACATGTTAGAGACCCCCCCTCACAGATTGTACTGCTTTCATTGGAGCTCAGAAGTATCTCAAACTATGAAGAGCTCAAAGTTTCCAAACATACCAAACATGGCTGGATTTTGGGGAAATGTGTGTAAAACGATTTATTTAATTATTTTATAGTATTTTAATTTTAAAACTAGTTTAGTGGCATCTGGTGGTGAAGTTTTAGATTGCAACCAACTGAATACTGCCTTTTTTCCAAGCGTGTAGGAGAAACTACAATGGCCACGAAACTCACTAAAACTCACTAAAAGCGTCTCATTCTAAGGTAACGAAAACACAAATATTCTTATTTTCAGGTGATTATTCACTAGATCCTCCTCAATGTTTCACACTGGAGCTTTAATACTTCACTCAGATTCATATGGCTTCAATGGAGAGCTGGAACGAGCTGATACACAATATGTACTGTACACTATGTGATAGTATCGAGCAGTTTGTCCCTGCGTAAAGCCACTTAAATAAATAAAACTGTAAGTGTCAGTGAAAACAAATAGTCTTTTAACTGTAGTTGAATTAAATATGCATTACTTGGATAAATGTGTGTGTATATATATATGTGTGTATGTGTATATACAGTGTGAGTGCACTGAGGCTTGTGCTGGCTGCGTTGGGCTCGGGGCATGTTGACATGGCTTCTAATCAGGTTAAGTTATTAAGACCTCCAATGGGGAAGGAAATAGGTCAGGAACAGCTAACGCACAGAGAGAGAGAGAGGGAGAGAGAGAGAGAGGGAGAGAAGACAGAGTGAGAGAGGAGTTTGCTTCAGAGTATCAGGAGCAGCACATGGTGCTAACATCCAGCACTGCTCTGATCTTTATTCACCATAAACCTGGATTTTCTTTATTTGTGAGGATGTGAAACAGGTTTGACTTGACTTTGTCTTCTTCTCCGCCTGCTGTTGAGCATCTTTGTATTTTCTTCAAGCTGAAGCTGGATGTAAAGTTTTCTTCTGGTGCTTCCTTCAGTAAAATCTTGAATTCATCCATCAGAGTGGAAGTTTGCATGTTTTCTGCAGATGGACAGATGTGCTCTGAAAACCAACAAACAAGCAGAAGACAGAGGCTTTGTGGCTGATCATTCATTCAGCTTCTGTTTCCCTCTTTCTCTGATGGCCAGTGCAGCGTGAACACACGAGCCCTCGGGATCCGGACGTCCGTTTACACACTCATCCCTCTTTGCTTCTCCTCCCTCTTCGTGTTGCTCTTTCGTCACTGCAGCTCCGCCTCAGGACTGCTGCTGCTGCTGCTGGTGGGATAGGTTGTGTCCAGAGAGGTAATAAGACGCTCTCCTTTGATTTGAGGGGAACTATTCAAGACATCACTGCAAAATGGACTCATTCTAGGACCAAAGACAGGAAAAAGGAGGAAGAAAAGAGGAAGAAGAAGGAGATCCAGACTGCAGCTGCATGCCTCCTCAGGCAGCTGAGTCTGTTTTCTGTTCACCAAAGAGCTAATTATAATTAACATTTTTGTATTTAAAGTATTTAAATCAATCTCAGGCTTTGGAGTAAAATCTCCCAACAGTGCTTTTATTTGATCTGCACTGTGAGCTGGCAGCTGGTCCTGGTCCAAACCATCTGACGGGTCTGCTGTGCTCGGATCACAGACATTTGGACGTCATCTTGTTGTTGCAGCAAATGCACAAATCCTTTCAATCTGCTGTGTGAATCAACAGTCTTCAGCCTGCACCTTGCACACCTACCTTAGAATCTGATTTGGGATTTATTTGGGTTACCACCTGTGGTCCCGAGCCAAACACACTCCCAGGACTGTGTGTGTGTGTGTGTGTGTGTGTGTGTGTGAAGGGAGCCACACAAAATCTCTCCGGGAAGCCTGAATCTAATCGGAGGATTTGCTCTGCTTTTCACCTGGTTGCCCACACGCTCAGTCATCCCTCCATCCCTTTATCCGTTGCTCACGCTCTGCCTAGCTACTGTACCTGCTGTCACTCTGGGATCAGGACCTCGGCCGCAAAGCTAATGAGCCACGCTCGGTTACCTCTGGAGAGGAGGAAGGAAAAACCGCACCGGAGAGAGTTTTAACCGACCCAGGGGTCTGAGAGAGACAGCGGAGACAACAGGGGAGGGATGGTCAGTCAGTAGCCCAAGCAAAGGGCCATCTGCTGGGGGAACAGAGAGGGCTGAAGGGGGCTGATGGCTCCTTTGTGGAAGGCCATGCTATCGAAAAGCAGCCCGCTGTACAGAGACTCTCTGTTCTCCTTCTCTCTGTGGGAGTGGAAGGCTCAGGAGAGAGAACTGCTGCTGCTGAAGAAGCTCACCGACAGGGAGAGGAGAGCACTGCTCACACAACTCGACAAGTAAGACGAGCTGTTTCCAGCCTGTGCACCCAGCTAAGCTATAGGCTAACCACATCCTGACTCAGGCTCCTCACTTAAAGCATCCTCTGCAGTCAGTATGAGTGTTAGTGCACGATGCAGCAACCTCTTTATTACAGGCTGAAGACACAGGTTGTAGTTTTTACTGTGAAAACAATATTGGACCACAAATCCAGTGATAGTGAGTGAAGAGAGCAGAGCAGGGGGTCGCAACCTTTTTTATTAAGGACATTATTCTATATTTTATGTATATTTCATATTATATTCAATGTATTATACAATACAATGAATACAAACAGTGAACACAATAATAACTGCAGGGATTTCGTGTAAAACGAGCGATTTGGATGAATTTTGAGGCGATTATTTCCTGTGAATGTTGATCAGATTTCCTCATATTTATAGGAACTTTTTATACAATTCTCTGTCTGTATTGTTTCTTTTAATTTATTCTAACAATCATACAGACTTAATAGGCTTCCCATTTGACAAATTCTGTGTTTTCTTCTCTCTTAGCTCTTTGCAGGACGAGGCTGTTCAGTATAGTTTGAATATAACTTGTATATCCTAAAAGTCTGAACCTGAAAAAGAACAATTTTATTCAGTTTTCTTCACAAAGTGCTGAGATAATGGCCTGCTGTGTATATTTAAGTTTAAGCTTTTTTACACCCCTGTAAATCAAGAAAGCCTCGCAAACCCCCGTGAAGCTTTTGCAGACCCTAGTTGGGGTCCCGACCTCCAGGTTGGGAACCACTGTGTTAGACCAACATTGTCTCTGGCAGAATACAAAACATGGGGAGGTTTGAAGTTTTCTATTTTTGGAATCTGGCGGCCCTGATCACAATCTTTTATATATCCGATATATATTTACATTGTTTAGGTATTATTTCATATTTTAGGATGTCTTGAATTAAAGCATGCATGTTTTCCCTCTTTATTCCCATAGAACCAGTTTGTTCATTCTTTATTTTAAGTGTTATGTAAGTAGTAAGTAAGTAGCAGGTCAGATCTTTCCATCCAAACTCCCCCCATGTCCTTGATTTGTAGTGGTGATGGTCAGTGGTTCCCAACCTGGTTGAACCCCCATAAAGCTTTGGCGACCCCTAGTGGGGGGGTCCTGGGGCCTTCTTGATTTTAAAACATGCCTTTACACAGTAGGCCTAAATCTCTTCTAATCAGCATCTGGTTCACTTCTGTGAAGGAAAGGAAATGGACAAAGGTCAGGGACAAGAAAAAGCCTATTAAGTGTGTGAGTATTAAAAATATATAAAAAATACATAATAGAGACAGAAAATTATATAAAAAGTTCCCTAAACAGGAAAAAATCTGCTCAACATTCATGCAAATTACTTGTTTTACACAAAGGTCTTGTAGTTACTGAGTTCATTATTTGGGTTCATTGTACAGTTCTTAATATAATAAGAGATATCCATAAAATATGAGTCAGTTTACTCAATGATAGAAAATTTGTCCCTTAAGAGAACCACTGCTGTAGGTAACGGTGTGTTTCCCTGCTTGCCTCTGCGCTATAACTCCTGGGTGAACGCGGGATACGTCAGAGAGCGAGGAAGGAAGTCAGTGAACGTGAATAAAACTTTAATACGTTACCTCGTCCGTCAATAATTTCTGGTTTCTGGTTGGTGCATAAGTTTGTGTGTTCCCACATGGGGGAGAGCGGGGGGTGTGTGTGTGTTTATTGAGTGTGGGTATCAGCACGTCATCGATTTAAATGAATGACCTTCACCCCAGCATCTGTGCACCAACACGTCACTGTTAATTAAATCATCTGTAGGCGACTCACTGCATACGCAAACTGTGTGACTGTTCGTCAGCGTGTCAGTCCTCTCGGTGTCTGCCCGTTCATGTCAGCGTCAGCGATTATGAGTCCGCGTTATTACCTGTGTGATGTGATGCAGTGTAACGTCTGTGTAAGTCACTAAGAGGCTTCACGACGCAGTCAGCAAAGCCTCTGTGGGACAGTCCAGATCAGCCTGCAGGTGACTCACACACCTGGTACATCGCTCCTCATTAATGCCCGTTATCCTTTAAGTCACAAGGCAGCTAATGCAGCTGTTCCCAGATCCTCTCGCTGCGGTTAAGATGCTTTTTTTCAGTTCTACAGATTTTACAGAAGAAATACACGTAGCTCTAATACAGTTAGACTGATTTACACCTGGATTGTATGTTTCCAGACATGGTTTATGGGTCTATGGTTCAAGTTCTTTAGTCAGTGTTTGCTCAAGGGCAACCCAGTGGTGGTAAACTTGTCTTTCACTTTCCCCACCCAGTTTTATTCTGCTGGTCTGTTATAAAGTAAATGGACTGACTGTATGTGTGTGTCTCTGTGTGTGTTCAGGCTCAGTAAGGAGCTGCAGCAGAAGGACAAGGTCATCGAGTCTCTTCGTGCCAAACTCAACCAGCATCACCACCATCATCACCGCTCCGACACGCCCTGCAGCAGCCGCGCCCTCTCCGACACCAGCGACCAATCAGATCGCATCTCCTACGTGTCCGATGAGCACGGATCCACGAACGAGGACCTGGAGCTTTGCTCTGACGTGGACGCTGCCAGCGAGCTCGGCCAGAAGGAAACACGGACTTCTACCAGACTCAGCACAGGTGAGACGATGACGCCCCTCATCCAGCTTCAGTGTACCTGAATGGTGTATGTGGAGAGAGACGTAATCAGTACAGTTATTCTACAACCAGAACAAAACATGTCTGTGTCTCTCCAAGCCCATTGGCTCCTACTAAAGATCTTTAAAAAACTCCTCACAAATATATAAATATTTTTTATACAAAACTCACTGCCACTAGATGTCGCACTAGAACATCAGCATCTCAGACCACAACTATGGGCACTACGGCCCACCAGACTCCACTCACAAAACCTGTAATTTAACAGACTTAACATAAAACTCATCAAAACGTTTTGTTAGTCTTTCCAACATTCACTAACACTGGTTTGGTCAAAATAAACATTTAATTCACAAAGCTAGACGTGAAAATATCCATAGAAAGGCCTAAAAAGTAAGCTAATGTTAATCCTTGTGGGACAAATGCACCCATCAGAGTCTGTCCACTAACAGTAGTCGTTGTTTGTTCCACTAACAGTAGTTGTTTGTTCCACTGACAGACTCAGGTTGTTATTGTCAGTGTCTGACAGCATTATGGAAAGGATCCCTACAGAGATAGACCTTTAGTTTAACCACAAACAGCCGTAATATCACTATCACTCTCCACCAGACTCCAGAGACAGAAGCACTCCTTTTATCTTCAGATCATCGTAACTTCAACACAGGCAGAGGGAGTGAGACAGCATGTGACTCTGTATCTTTATATAGAGAATAGCTGTTTGATGATTAATGTTTTAAATCTCATATATATTTTATGTTTTTTATCAAACAAACAGGAAAATATTGCATTTGTTGGGGACTATTTTTAGCGGTGGATGAATCCACATTTGATACTCTAGTGAGTATTTTGGTCAGCGGGACGATATATAAATAAACTACAGTACAGGAACACTCAGTGAGGCTCACTGATGTGTTATAATGGAGCACAAAGATACATCAGGCTGTGATACACATACAGGAAAAATAGAGAATATCAGCAGACTTTTGTCACATGACCTCTGCAGTATCTTTACATGCTGGTTAAATATGACACACACACACACACACACACACACACACACACACACACACACACACACACACCTGTTCAGGTGTTTTGGTCCACAGTCTGTTCCCTCCATCTGGTCCTTTGGTGACAGCAGACTCTTTTCATTCCCAGATTGCCACTCTCACAGTGGCACCCTGTCACGTCACCCGTCTGTCCCTCCATCCACCACCTCCTCCTCCCACAGAGCCCAGTCCTGCCTCAGCTGTCCCAGCATGCAATGCCCCAGCTTGCCACACAAACCCGCAGACATGCAGAGTCAGACAGGTAGGAATGGGCTCACGAGTGTGACCCAGGCTGTGAATTCACCTCTGTCCTGTTTCCATTTTCTGTCTTTCATTCTTCTGCTTTGGACTTCCTCCTCCTCCCAGCTCCAGCCCCAGGCTTCACCTCTACCCCCTCTTTCCACCCTCCGCCCTCCTCCTTCCATCCTCACCCTACAACCTTGCGAACCCGTTACCAAGGCAACGGGGGCGTGGGTTTCTCCCTGGCCGAGGTCCATCAGGAGCTGCAGATGTTACAGAGGCAGCTGGGAGACAATGAAAGTGCGTCCGTCGGACTGTTTATGCACGGGTTTACTGTGAACTAACTGTCGTGTGTTTGAAGCTCGATATTTACTGTGAAGCTGTCGAGGAAACTTTTGGGGGAACAGTGTAAACTTTTATTCTGAAGAAGATGCTGAACAGCGGAGTTAGTGGGCAGGAGCAGGTTCTCCAGGCAACATTAACAGAGATTAACAGCATGTTGGAAAATGGAGACAAAGAGAACAAATTCAGAGAATATCCAAGTTTTTTTAAATTTTATGTCATTAAATGTTTTAATCTACAGTGGCCCTACTTAACTTTAACTTAACTCATAATTATTCTTAATGCCTGGAATTCCCCTTGAAATCATTGAAATGAGGCGGTAGAAGAAGAAGTAGAAGCTACCACTTATGTCCACAGGATCAACAACATAAAAAATCAACAATATAAAAGTTCCTTGTAGGAGCTTTAAATTAATAGGAGCCAGATCGATCCGCCTTTAATGCATCCATGCATGTAAGAGAGGGAAGAACGAACCAACGCCTGAATCAGTCGCTGCGTGGAGATACACAGGGTGTGAAATGAAGTGAGAGTTGATCGGCTTTAATAATCCACATGCCTTCCCTTTGTCTTTAACCCACTGCACTTTCTTTCTCATTAAATAACTGTTCTTCCTTTGTTCCGTAATGAACCCACTGCACGCAGCTTGAGAAGGATTTGCTGTGATCTTTGGACACTAATGAGAGATGGAGCTTTGACACACCCCAAACCAGGCCGATTTAGTTTGGCCGATTAAGTCGTTCCCTACGTCAGGAGAAATCCCTTCATCTCTCTTTCAGTCTTTCACTCTCCCCTTCCTTCGTGTCTCACTAACACTCTCAAATTTTTTTTAAATCGACAATCCCTCCAGCATGTGTCTGCAGTGTTTTCTCCTCTAATATTTGATATGTTTCTTTATTTCCTTACATGATGTTCCTGTATCTTCTTCAGGGTTTTCCACTCCCCAGTCCAAACATCTTCAGGGGTTCCCGTTTGCCCACCAGCAGTCCGACTCCTCGGCCTTCCTGCCTCTCTCCTACCACGCATACCAGCCTTCTCCTTTCAGCAGCGCTGCCAGCAGCAGTCTGGATGCCAGCTCAGCAATGAAAGCTGGGGCTAGTCTGCTGGAGAGCAGTGCATTGTGGGATATGACCTACAGTACCCGACCAGTGAAAGTGGGAGCTGACCTGTCTTCAGGATCCTCGGGGTACCAGTCAGGCACCAGCAACACAGGTAGATACACACTCGGATCCTTGTTTGGGGAAAGTATTTGATAAAGAGAATGTTTGAGCTGGGGTCAGGGTCTGGGCTGTGGTCGCTCCTCATCTGCCCAAAAAATGGACATTAAAGTATTGATCAGGAAGAATTCTGTTGTTCATGTACAGAGTAAACAGCAGTCATTCAATAATCAGTCCGAACACTTCCTGCATGTTTCACATTAAACCAGGAAAGGGGAAGATTATATATAATTGTACCGTTGGAAGCTGAGGGAAGGCCATAATGCAAATTTGATCTGTAGTAACAACCTGAAAAACACAGACGTGGTCCTTTAGTACTTTGTGAGATACCACAGCGTTCAGTACAGAATATTGCTGGTCTCTAACATTACTGATTATATGTTTGTGTTGTAGGTTCAGACCTGATGAAGGAGCACCTGAGAGAGATCAGGAGTCTGAGACAGAGACTGGAGGACTCCATCCAGACCAACGATCGCCTCCGACAGCAACTGGAGGAGAGGCTGGCCCGCACCGCCACTGAGAAAGGTAACACCCACACACACACACACACACACACACACACACACACACACACACACACACACACACACACACACACACACTCAATTTGTTAATGCATACTTCAAAGTAACATGGTACAGCTTTGTTTTACATACACATGAAAGAATATGAGCAATAAGATTAGAAACAATATACGAGGTAGAAAACCCAGCAATAATCAGAGATAATATTAAAAAGAGACCTGGACCTTTCTGTGATCAGAAAGTGATCAATAGGGTTTTAAAATCAATTCTAAGTCTTAATGGTTGCTAGTGCAGATGTGCTAAAACTGGGGTTACAAGTCCCATAGTTTACTGGTTTCCTTTAAAGAAGCTGTTTATATGTTAGAACCCAGACAGTTCAGTTGGTAAATACTTAGAGACTATAGAGATCTAATTAAAAACCTAATAGAAGCTAGGTTTGTTAGCACGTTAGCTCATCATTACATGCTTAACGTCTCCCTGTCCTCTCCAGGTGCTCCTACCAACATCTACATCCAGGGTCTGGACTCCGTCGGCCAGCTCTCCAGTGAGATCCGACTGCTGAAGGAGGAGAACGTCAGTCTGCAGAACCAGCTGAAGCAGATCACCAAAGGTACAGTCTGACGTTCACTGAAACACTGGAGACACTGGGAACAACAGATTTATATCAGAGGTTAGCAGCAGTTCGGGGTCAGCACTGTAATGTCGTGTGTCCCCTGCAGAGGGCAGCAAGGAGGCGGAGCAGCTGAGGGAGGCGGCGCTCCTGGAGCGGGCCAGGTTGAAGGAGGCGGAGCTAGAGGCTGAGAGGTGGGCGGAGCAAAGCAGGAAGCTGCAAACTGAGGCTGAAGCTCGCAACCAAGAGGTTTCACAACTGAAACAGGACAGACAGCGGAGCCAGGAAGCCATCAACAGGTGTGTGTGTGTCTCCAGTGGTTTGACTTTAAACCTCGCTGCAGTGATGTAGACATGTACTCCAGTACACCGTGACGTCACTGTAGAGCAGGATAGGACAACAACAGGTTAAATGATGATTCCATGTGTTCTCACAGACTCCAGCATGAGGTGAGCGTCCTCCAGCAGCAGCTGTGTGAGAGCCGCAGTCTGGTCCACGCTCTTCAGTGTGAGCTGCAGGTGTACAAGAGAGTGTGTGGAGTCCCCGCAGACACACACTCAGGTAGGAGGGAGCTGTATGAACTTCCAGAGACAAAATGTAAATGTTCTGAAAACTGTGAGAGCTCTCGAACGCCCCCTAAACCAGCTAATAAAACCTCAGAAGAAATATCGCTTACACACACTGGACACTCTTTCTAATTTTTTACTCGTCTGTGTGTGTGTGTGTGTGTGTGTGTGTGTGTGTGTGTGTGTGTGTTTCCGAGCAGGTCAGGCCAGCGACGGTGCCCACCTCGATCACGGCACTGCGACCTTTGACCCCAGAGAGCTGCACATTCAGCTGGAGCAGCAGCTGAGCAGACAGGCCGACACGCAGCCTCGGTCCAGGAGACAGCTCTTCAGCGGTCAGTATGTCCGACACGCCGGACGGATTAAAGCAGATCTCAACACTATGATAGAAGAATGATTCTGTGGAACTCAGTAAGAGGAAGATGTCATATTATTATTATTATAATTAATCTTTCTCCACAGACAACGTTCCCTCCCCGCCGGTGAGAGACACTGGACTCGTCAGTCCTTCCTCTCCTCTACATCCTGCACAGAAACACGCAGGAGGAGCAGCTGGTCAAGGTGAGAACCTCATCCAGCCAACGCCCTGTCACAGTAATCCAATCTCCGTTACACAACCATCACTGTTACCTCCACAGCACATAGAACTCATGTGTTGTATCTGTTTCTATGGTTTTCCTTCCCAGCAGCCTCGGCCCTGCAGGGCGGAGCTCCAGACGGCTCATTTGCTCACCGTGATGGCCGCCACGCTGTGGGCCACATTGATGACTTCAAGGCTCTGCAGCAGCAGATCCTGGAGGGCGCCGCTGTCCTCCGCAACATGGAGGCCGTTCTCTACTCCCCGAGCACCTCGAAGGAGTTCAGCCTTCATCAGGTGAGGTTCATGTCACCTGTTGGATTATATGTGATCAGAAAAAAGAGGAGAATCCCCCACCCACCCATTTAAAGCCACGATGAGTTAAATTATGAATATATACAGCATCAAATTATTATTATAGACATGTGTTTGTTTGTTTAGACGATCCATTAGGAGATTGGTGCAGTCTGTTTTATTACCACTGGAGGGCGCTCTAGTGAAGGAAACACTTCTCATATAGGTTTTTAAAATGTAATACATGTAGTATTGATCTATCTAAGAGTTGGGGACATGTGATTGACTGAAAGTCGAGGTGGCGAGGACCCATGAAGACAACACTTGGAAATAACAGCAGTAATTTTAGGGAATTTTACAGTTTTTTGTGTATTTGTTGTAGTCTGGAGTCAAACAGCAATATTAGGCTCTATTGGCTCAATTGTTGAAGGTCTGTGAGATCCAATAACATAATCATGGTCCCAAAGGCATCCAGGAATTTAGCAAAACAAAGCAAATAAACTAAGAGGGCAGGTTCCCACAGGCTCTGACTGGATTATTCATGGATAAAGCAGCTCTAAACCTTTCTCCTTTTATATTATATTCAATGTGTAACAGTAAAGAACAACTGATAACCCCCCCAGGTTGGCTGCCACTGGATAAACATGAGAAACAGCAGATGGATGAATCATTAGTTGAACTTTGTATGAATGTGTTTTGTGGTCTCAGCCTTCAGACTCAGGTTCTGTCAGGAAGCTTCTGTCCGACACTAAAACCCTGCGACAGATCCTGGAGGAGGCCGACTCTCTGCTGCGGATGTTCTGGAGAGCAGCTCTGCCAAACGTTGAGGAAACCAAACAGGTCAGGATCATGTAAAGGAACCGAGAGCCTTCTTTGTGACTTTGTCCCGTCATTTTTCCCATCTTATATATGAAATAAAACTCTTATTGTTGGTAGTAAAGTGATCCAGGAGGTTACAGACTTCAGTCTACAGTAGCCAGAAATTAATCAAACAGCAAGATAGTTTGAAAAGATTAAGCCAAAATATCTATAATTTATAGCTTTTTTAATCTTTCTGGCTCTCAGTGATCGATTACGTAAATAAAACGTTGAGTTACCGGCAGTCGCTGATGGACTAACGTGACCTCTGTCTGTGTTTACAGGATCAGTCTCTGAGGGAGGAGGTCGTTTCTCTCCGTCTGAGGCTCTCGGAGCGAGAAGAGGCTCTAAAGGACGCCATGGAGAGAGTGAAGAGCTCCAACCGCACCAAAGATAGCATGGAGCACTTTATAGTCAGCCAGCGTGAGTCACTGACGCCACTTTACTCTTTCCAGCAGATCATATTTATGATAACTCTTCAGTAATGACAGTGATGATATTTGTCTTCTTTTAATCTCTTAAAGCCATCTGTGCTTATTTGATCTCTTAGTCACTACAGACATCATCTGTGTCTGTTTCACCCTCTTGCGTCATCTTCTAGCTCTCGTTTTTCCCAGCCCTCTCTCCTCTTTCTTCATCTCTCTGTTTCTTCTTCATCTTTCGACCCCGAGCAGCTGTTGGCTGACTCGGCCTTGTGTTCGCTGCTGATCTGAAAGCTTCTGTTTAATGAATGAACAAACAGTGACTCCCAGATGTTCTCTTTACAGTGTCGAGAACACAGGACGTGTTGAGGAAAGCCAAGACGAACTTACAGGTGAGTTCAGGTTCATTCTGGTTCTGATAACTCTGGACTTTGGTGGGAAGATGGGACACATTTTATTAACAGAGAGAGAAACAGTCAGTGAAAGTCCCGCTCACCTCTCTCCCGCTGTTTCTCTTTCCTCGGACTCCTGCTGAGTCTCCTCAGGAGAACGAGCTCAGGATTTCCTCCCTTCACCGTGCCTCTTTCTCCATTCCTCCTTCCTCCTCCTCCTTTTCCTCCTCCTCCTCTTCCTCACATCCCTGGCCTGGTAAAGGTATGGTCCCCCCTGGCTTTGCTGTGTTCACTTCAGTGCCCTCATAACATGTTGAAGCTTGATGAAAAACCGTGGCGTTAAAAAGAGTTTTGCATGAAGTCATTTCCTGTTAAACTTTATTCAAAGCTGAATAATTTTACTTTAAAACATTCAAATTAACTGAAATTATCAACAGAATATGAAGAAATAACATAATAGTTTGGAGCATGCTAACCAGCTAGCTTCAGCCCGTCCTGTCTCATCAGACCACTTTGTACCTCAAGAGGCGATAGTGAGTCTCGGTCCAACAACACAGTGCCTCACGCTCCTCTCCCACTTCACTCCTCTCCTGTCCCCGCCTGAACCCGCCTGAAACCGCCATGTCTTAGTCGTCCCCAGGAGTCAGAGTCCTGGTTGTGTTCACTGGGAGGCTGCGGATCCCATCCCAAACTAGTCTCTAATCTTCCAGGTTTTACAGATTGTCCCTTCTGGTTCCCTCCCACCCCAGACCTGAAAACCTCCTTCTCCAGGCAGTCCAGAGCTCCTGTGCAGTGCTCCTTGGCTCCTAGTCTGGGCAGAGTCAGCTCATATATACATATATATATATATATATATATATATATATATATACAGCTAGCAAAAAAAACTCCAACAGCATTTACAGTTAGCAGTTACTTTAGCTTAACTTTCTGGTGATAAGCCGTCTCCTATGTGTTTGTAGTATGAATTCGAGAAGTGGCCAGTTCTTACATATAGCTCCTATAATAAACCCGTAGGTGTCTGTGAGCCACTTTAAACAACTACCTATATTAGCTTTTTGCTAATTTCTCCTTCCAACCAACAAACATGGACACACATATTGTTGTATTTTGTCTCGCTGAACAGCTTTCAGTCTAAAGGAACGTTTCCTTGCTATATTATATTAACAATACATAAAAAAAGACTTCAGTGATTTCAGTTGGACTTAAAACTGGAGACAGACAACTTCTACGGTGTAATGGCTATAGAATAAAGACACCATCCACATATAGATTGGTTCCCTATAAGCAATATATGTATATATTTCTGTGGTTATTTGTTTGTGCGAAGCAATAATTATCACATTACAATGCAGCACAGTCGGGGAAAGGTTCTCTGTTTCCACTTTAAAGGCACACTGTGAAGTTTTGCAGTGTTTTGATATGTGGCCCCTGTTTTTATAGCTCTTGCTCTGCTAACACTCAGACATGGTATGTACACATTATGACTGCAGATGCATGCAAGATGCAAATGATAAAATAAGAGACAGAGGAAGAGCAGAACCACTGAATGTCAACAGAAGTGTGTTTATTTACTAGAAACTGTACAAACCTACCTGCCTTTATATTTAACATGGGGACAGTGTGAACCTGCTTCATCACGCTTTGTCAGTTTGTCTTTATTGATGATTTATTCCTGTAAAATGACTAACCTGTGTGCACAGTAAATGTTAGTTCCCTCAAATTAACCATTTGTACGTCTACCAAGACTTACATCATTTGCTCTGACTGCATCAGATTAATTGATCCTGCCAAAAGTTCACAGGGTAAAACAGGGTCAAATGTAGGGGGTTTATCTGTTCTTAAGTCATGAATATGTTATTTTAACTCAAACAATTGTTGTAACAGATTACATTGAACATATAAAGTAACACGGTATTAATTTGAGGGAATTAATTCAGTTTTTAATGGTACTAATTACTCACATGAGGGAGCGTTTAATCAAAAATGTGCATCAAACTCGTCTCTCTAACTGTTGTGTTTCAGCTGAAAACGCAGGACGCTTCTGTGAGCTCGCCTTCTCTCCTGGTTGGGGTGTCGTGAAGCCCCTGACCTCCTCCATCTCCTCCTCCCCTGCTGTCCTGGGACCGGCTCACCGCCACCACCAGCGCCCCCTGCAGTCAGCCTTCCTGTAGTGCACCAGCCACCAAGTCCCTCATCGACATCTGCTGTTCAAACAGAAAAATGCTGGAAATTCTGCCTCTCTTATTGGCCGGAGAAACATTTCAGTTGAGTGACGTCTGAGCGTTGCTGATGGTTTTAAGAATGTGAATGACTGTAATTATTTTAATAATGTGTGTAGGTGTTAGGAGGGCGTTTGTTGAGGCAACTGAAGTGTTTTTTTCTCATTTAAATGAGACCAGACTGAGTTTGGCTGAAGTTGGCTTATGATTCATAGCTTCTGATGAAGCCTTTCTTTTTTCACAAATAAAATCAAAAGTTAATTTAGAGTCAGTTTACTCCAGGTTTGATGAACCTAACCACAGCGGTTTGTAGCGCAGACCTGGTTTAATGTAGTTTAGGCAGTTAAAAAAGGTTTTTCCTAAATCTGAATGTCTCATAACCAGGGGCGGAGGCAAAGCAAGGGGGGCTTCTGGGGTTCTAGCCCCAAATGTTTTAGGCTTTTAAAAAAAACGTTGGTAATTTCACTTCAGTTTCTCTGGGCCAGAAAATCAACTGAGCAAAAGGCTCTAAAAGATGATTTTTCCCCTGGACAACTATCGTGTTTTACAGATTTTTAGGCGTCCTTTTGTCTCAACTGACTTTAAAAGTGCGTAAAGCTGCTGGAGAGGGGAAGAAACTCTCCCCTGGACCCCCCCTAAGTTTGAGCTCCCTCCCTAAAACACCCTCATGGGAGGAAATATTGTCCCTTAACTCATAAATCTGAAGCTCCGGATCAGAAGCCGACTCCAGCCTCGTACTTCAGCAGGGATTCAAGACACAAAAAATCCCCCTGATGCCAGCAGGAACGGGGCTTTAAAACAAAAAAAAGCCAAAACCAAACTGCAAAGTGCTTCCTGTCAGCCTCCGCGGAGGCTCGTGTTTGTAGTTAGCGTGTAGAATAGTTGCATGTGGTTTGAGCAGCTCGTGGAAACAAAGCCATACTCTCTCTGACGGGACAGTAGATATGTTTTTGTTTTGTGGCCAACTACTGATAAAATATGGAAAATACTAGAACGACCAATAGACATTTGGGTCAGATAGCCGGTAGATAAAACACAGATTTAGGGATTTGTTTTCCCCCTCATTGTTCTCAGACTCCAGAGTGTCGCTGTTAAATGTGGAGTGAGTTCTCTTCAGATATTTAAGATGAATATGGGTCCAACCCAGTTGTTCCTGCTGAAACCTGCAGTGTTTGAAAGCCTTAGTAAAGCAGAGTAAATACAAACATGCACACGTTACAGGCGGCACTCATCGAGCTGCCTTCGGTAACCTGTCACACGAAAAGAAATTCATTTTATAGTGAACGGTCCAAGAGAGATGACATTTCATTTTGTGTAACCAGAAATATGGACCACACTTTTATCTCTTTGGGTTGTTTTATTTTTTTTTTTTTAAATCTCCTTTTTGTTGTTTTTTATTTTTATTTTGCTAAATTTGTGGATTTTTTTTAATGTTTTGAATTTTCCCTCAAGATGATAATCACTTTTAAAGAGACAATCGTCAAGGGATAAAACATCTGTACGTCCAGATGTTTTCTTCAGAGCTGCTGCAGGATTCGTGACGCTCACTGTGCAAAAGAGACTTTTCTGAAACTGGGTGTTTTACACTGGCTAACTCCACGTTTTCTTTCCGTTGTAGTTTCTCCTTTGTTTCCCTGTAAAGTAGGTTTTCTGTTTCTTGTGCATGAACTGAGGCTTCACTGCCCTCTAATACTTTCACTGAAATATGCAATTTTTTGGGTTACTGTGCAATAATAGCCTTCGTGGTTGCTTTTTTGTGGACGTTTTTAGGCCCTGGGTATCAAAGTGCCATGTCATCTGTTTTAGCTCTGGAGCTGAATTAATTTAAACAAACTGACTCTTTTTGGATGAATGCGTCCAGATTTGTGACAATCAATTTAATGG